ATCAGTCCAACCATGGACTTGATCATTCATGAATTCATCAATCAGGTAGCCGCCACTTGAAGCGTTGATCTCAATTCCATCAAATCCTTCATATATATCACGTGAAACTAGTTAAGTTATCAAATGCTTGGAAAATGAACTATAGGTATGTCATTGAGTAAATGAATACTTCTAAATCTTCATTATAATTTTTGGATTCCATCGTCAATCTTGTTATTGGTAAATATTGAAGTTCATCAGTTATTTAATGGGGATTGATATAAGTTACCAGCTTTAATCGCGTTACGGGCTGCAATCCTGAAATCATTTACAATGCAAGGAATTTTATCAGACTCCAGAGGAAGAGGTGTTGGTTTCGCATACACTTTATCATCAGGTCCTGCATGTGAAAAAGAAGACAGAAACAGCATATAATTGACAGATGCAGCAGAAACTACTATTCCCTCCGTTAAAAAAAGAATGATCTCCTTTCCTTTTTAGTCTGGTTCAAAAGGAATGATCTCTTTCTTTTGTTTGGTAACATTTTAGTTTTAGTTTTCCACGTGGCATGTTTAAGGCCACAAGATTAAAGCACAATTTTTTACGTTCGACAAAACTTTAATTTAGGACACCGCAAGATTCAAAAGTCTTCTTTATTTTCTTAAACTCCGAGTCAAGTCAAACTAGGTCATTCTTACTTGTGGACCAGCCAATGCCGATCGAGAAAAATAATGCACTAACAGTCGGGACAGATAAGCGGCCTGAATGCCAAATTTGACAAAAGAAGACGCCTCCTTTCTCATGAACACCATTCACTACTGGTTTCCATGCTTCCACTTGCTCCTCATTCCATATTCCAGGCAAGTTAGGGCACCTTTAAGAAAATGTGCAAATTATTAGTAAAACTTAAAAAAAAATCAAGAGTTTTACATGGAAAAAACTTGTATCTATCTCATGTTTTATTCTTGATAACAACAACATATCAGTGAAATTTCACAAGTAGAGTTTGGCAAGGGTTGAGCGTAAGTATACCTTAGCCCTACCTCATGAAGTAGGGAGGTTGTTTTTGAAGGACCCTCAGCTCAAGTGCAGCAAAATCAGAGTAGTTATGAATAGGGAAAAAACGACAATAAGGGAGAGCAGTGGAAAACATCATGTATAGTTCTTGAGGATTTGATTATTAGTAATTGAGCTTAATTATTCATTTTCTATCAGAATACTAATGTCTGGGCATCAATCACAAGTGAAGTTAGATATCCCACATGTAAGTGGAGTTGTATTTTTGTACTCAAACCAGAATTGAACATGCTTTGCTCGATTTCATATAATAGAGAAATACATGAAAACTATCTTATTTTGAGCTAGGGGAGGAGGAAGAGAGGGGTAATCTACGTACTCCTTAGAAATATCAGATGCAGCAGCTGCTTCAGAAATGATAAGCCCTCCATTAGTAGCTCTTTGAGAATAGTATTCAGTTAAATGTGGCTGTGGAGTATTATTTTGTGATCTGTTCCTCGTAAGTGCTGGAAAAACTATTCTGCAATATTCAAGAGTTATAAGAGTCTAAATATACAACAGTTATTACGTTTAAAGAGCTAATTCTTCTAGGCTCGATAACAATATGAAGGTAAAAATCAAAGGTAACTGATAAAAATGACGTGACGTGTATATACTGACCTATGAGTGAGTTTGAATCTCCCCAGTTTGTAAGGAGTACAGAGGGGCACAGCAGAGTTAGAGTTTGCTTCCATCTTCAAAGTCTCTCTCTTCTCTTACTTTGTGTGCTAGGCAAAGTCAGAATAACCTCCAAATTTATAGAAAAATATGTCAGCTACTAACTGTATGAATGTCTTTGCTGATAACAAAATAATTTTAGGAATAATCTTATTAAATGTTCTAAACAACTTGACAACTAAAACTATATTCCACTTTGTAATTATATGGGGTAGCTAGCATTGACCAAAGAAGCTATTGCGTGTTTTACATGATTATGAATTTATAAAAGAAAGAACAATGAAATAAAAATTGTTTGGTCAATGTATAAAAATGACTTGCTTCATCTGAAAGCTAGGAAATTTGCATATAATAATAGGGCAACTTGCAAATGAATATGTGATCAATGATTTAAAATAACTTACTTTGCCCCAAAAAAAATAGGCAATTTGCACCTGATCATGTGCTCCAAAGGTGTCAAAACCCATAAACACGCAGAGCCTACATTGCGATAGTGAGTTATTGGTAAACGTCAAGATTAGAATAGTGCAGTTAGCATGTTTGTATTCTACCTAATCTGGTCTTAAGGAATCAAATGAATTATGAATGCACCAATTTTGCCCTAATCGTAGAATTAATTTCTCCAATGGTACTGAGCAGCCAGCCATTTGAGAATTTAACCCGTAACTTCGGGGATCAATGAGATTGTTGTAAAAATTGGCCGTAAATTTATGAAAAAAGAGAAGAGAACAATCAAGCACTTCTATGTTCTAGAACATTGCAAAATTATCAATAAGATTACCTGAAAAAAGAATTCCATTTGCCTGACGGAGAGTGCGGGTGACGGTGGCATTCCGTCGGAGACAGAGTTAAAAGCACTTCTCAAATCCGAAAGTACCATCATTGGCCCTCCTTTATCAGTTCTCCACCACGCCATTGTTACCGAGTCGGTTGACATGCATACCAAATTTATGCTGCAGGCCTGCAGCTACTCCTTTTCTCACATTTATAAGATTTTTGCCTTATTTTATCCAGTTTAATTACATTAAGTCGAAAATATCTTAATTATTGGAACACTGTTATTATTCTTTTACTAGTAAGAATATCACAAAATTTAAAAAATAATATTTAAAACATATCGGCTACTTAAAATTAAAATATTATATTATCTTACATACAAGGTTACGTAGTAACAAACATTAATAATGTAAAGAAACGTGATAATTATAACGTCTTATCATTTATCTTTCAATCAATTATGTTAAATTCGATTTTATAATTCATTTTTTTTACTTTCAAGAAATGTTACTATATGATATTTATGGAAAAACAAATGAACATCAATCAAAAATATTAAATTTTCTAATAAATAAATAATCATTGGTGAAGGGATAAATATATTTTAAAAGATCGAAAAAAATGAACGAATATTCTAATTCAACGTGTAAAAAGTTCAGTAATATTGTTTTCTTTGCATGTATCATTTTAAATTACTTCATTTAAATGTATTATAATTAATTATTAAAATGAAAAATTAAAGGAAAAATGTATCATATAGGACAATAATTCAACTTATTATATACACTTGATTGGCAAAATATTACATAAAACTATTAAGTTTGTTTGGGTGTTTTTTAAAATCAACATACCGGGGTGATGAAGTTCAATTTGAAACTACAATTTTATTTGGAAAAACTGGTGTGCGTACTCAATTAACATGTGATATTTAATTTGTATCAACAAATACTTATACCAATAACTTTGAAGAAACATAAACAACTATAAAACAAACATATCAGGATCTCTAACAATAAAATAATAAAACAGAAAGGAAAAAATCGAGCCCATTGAATGTCAAGTGTCCCCTTTAAGGAAATTATTTCCCTCTATCACCCGAGAATTAAAGAAATAGATTCTCTCAGGATAGAACGATTTCATTCAGTAGTGTACTGAAATAAAAATAATATTTAATTATGTAGAAAAAGAAGATGTTCAGAATTATCATTGTTTAAAATGAGATGAATTTCCTCTATTTATAGAAATCAATTAATAGTGTGAACAAATATTTATTGTGTCTAATTGAAAAGGTTACAACTTTTTGAAAAAGTTACATGGAAAGGGTACAACCATTCATAAAAGTTACAATCCTTCGGAAATGTCACGACCTTTCATAGAAGTCACATTATTTTATAAAAATCGCAACTCTTCATGAAAGTAACAACTTTTCATGAAATGGGAAGACTAGTTTTGAAAATAAATAAATTTAAAAGGAAATTCTAGCTTGTAGTGCCACATAGGCGGGCCTAAAGTTGTCTTTTATATAAATATATGAATTTTTAAAGGCTTAGTAAGTTAACAAAGTAATGGTTAGATCAATTTTGCGACTACGTTCTTCAATTTAAATTAATTGAATTATTGAGGTGTTTCACATCTTTTTTTAAAAAAAAATAAAAAATTAAGACATAAATTAGGTATAATTTTTCATTTTTATCATTGTTAATTATTGTCAAATTATGATTAAAATAAGTAAATATTAATTAATAATTAATTTCAATACTAAATTATAAATCGTAAAATTAAAAAACTATTCTAAAAGTGATCTTAAAGTTAAACAATTAAATTCATGAAAATAAAAAATGTCTCAACCCAATTAATTTGAAATGAAGGAAATATTATATAAGGCAAAGTGTTAATGAATCAAAAATAGTTATGTTTATAAGATGAAGATGTGTGGGCAATTAGAAGCAATATCCTTAAGAACAAAGTTATACGTAACTAGATGGAAATAGTTTTCATGATCGATATAATAAGAAAAGTGAGATTGATATAGTTTAAACATATGAAGAGAAAGTGTGAAGATGTACGTGTCAATGAGGTGGGGGAGTGTGAGAGGTTGATTTTAGCAAGGGTTAGGAAAAGGTAAAGATAGTTCGACAAAGAATTAGAGGAGTTGATCAGAAAAATATAACACAATTTTAACTGATTAGAATGTTAGAAGATTATCTTATCGTATCGTACTTTTATTACTATGTTATGTTTCACGTGTTTTCTTTTTCCTCCACATGTAGTGATATTTGTTGCTTATACTTATTTAACATATTGTTATTTTTTTTCTTTCTTTTCTAGTTTTATAGTTTTATGTTTCGGTTTAAAAAATTTTGAGTCGTTGCTCTATGTAAACTATTTATCCTTCCTAAACACACGATTTATGAAATTGATCTAATATATTAAGTTGTAATAATATATAATTTAATAAAATAAATATTTAATTTGCAATTCCTTAAAAGAGTAGTATTTATGTCCAAACGGTAAATATATTGTGTACAAAGAAAAAGGAGAAAAGTAGATAACAGAAAGATAGAAGAAAGAAGAAAACAGAAGAGAAAAAGACCATTAGACAAAGAAAAGGTGTTTTGATAGCTACGGAGAAAAAGAGAAAGTATAGAGAAAAAAAGCAAAACAGGGAGATGAAAGGGGTCTCTAATGGGAGATCCATTCCCTTTCTTCTCTTCTTCCTTTCGTTTTTTCATCAATTCATCACAGGTTTGCATGCAATCACCCAGATCTTGATTTTCCCTTTTTTTTCCGATTCTATTTTAGTTGTATGATGGTTTTAATTGGTTATTTCATACTGGTGAATGTTCCTAATAGATCCTTTCTGTTTAAGAAAGAATGATGAGTTTGGAATTCGGAAATAAGAGTGTCAATTAACGATCTTGATTCAATTTGATATCATTTACCCTCTTTATTTTTTTCAAGAAAATGTGCAAAAAAAAATTGTAATAAAGCATAAAAAGAATAAAGATTGCGTATATAGGAAGCTAAGATGAATTTCTAATTTACTCTTGCTTTTTACTGTCGTATTTTGGGGCAACGGTTGTATGTGAAAAGGTTGTCAGTTTCTAATTGTCAGTATTCTGTCTGGGTTTGAGAAAAAGGGAGTCTTGTGACAAATTCAAGAAAATGAAGCTGATCTTGTCTTGATGTTACAACAACTAAATTACAGCTTCAGGTTCTTTTTCTTTTTGTTGTTGTTGTTGGTGGTGGTGAAATGAGTTACTATGGTTTTGACATGGGAAGAGGAGAGATGCAGATGCTCCAAAGAGGGGGGCTGAGAAGGTTTTCTGTGGTGAGCTTCATGAGAGGTAGAGGTAGGTCAAAGAAGTATTGGGGAAAAGGTGATTAGACAAGACATATCGCATCTCCAGCTTCCTGAGGAGGCAGTTTAGGGTGGTAGGTTAGTGGGTAGTTGAGTGTCCAACTAGATAGGCTTCTCCTTGTGTTTGCTATATCTCTACCATTTCTGAGTTGCCAAGGGTATGCAGTATACTTTACTATTTTGGGTAGAACTGCATGCAAATATTGACCAATTTGGAATATACCCTTATAGCTCTTAAATGGGAAAATGAGAAAACTATGTTTTAAAGGAGATAGTTGTTAAGTTGATCCAGCTGGCAGACCTCAAATTTGTAGACAATGGAGGAGAAATTGAGGAATGACAAAAATAACTGAAAAGGTGATGAAAATATCATGTTAATAATTTCGCTTTTGGTAAATGATTGCTAGTAGGTGAAAACAATATGCTATGTTTTTCTGCCTAGAGCTAATCATGACCTTCTTTCTTCTCAATCAATGGAACTTTGAGGATTGGTCCAATCCATTTGCCCAATATGCTGACAATGTCACCTAAGCACTCACCAATGCGGAAAGGAAAAGTCTGAAGCACTTCCCAGTACGTTGTTGAAGTTGCAAAATTTACAAGGAAAATGAGTATGATCAACTAGCCATACCGATTTACATGAGAGATTACTGCAGGATAAGCTTTCTGACTAGCCAGCAGACCATAATTTTAATCAAAGTGTCCCAGCTGGGCGTTGTAGAAAGAGACCACTGTCTTGTGCATTCAGTCCACTAGTAATGACTGCCCCGACATGGTTCCATTATTTATTTATTTTTGATGAAGTAATAGAAGATGTCATAGAAGCGACTACCTTACTTAAGCAATTCTTCTTATTCTTCTTCTTTCTTAGTTGAAGTTCCTATATTGGTTTTTTCTTTCTTTTATGAATGTTATTACGGGCATGACATGGTTCCATTATTTGAGTAAGCCCCGGTAAGGCTTAGACACTTGTATTTGTCCATCCCTTACCTTGACTCTTGACTGCTCCCAGTTCGATTGTTTGCTTCTCGTGAATTTAGTATCCAATCCTATATGTCTAATATTCATCATTTGCGTTCTCTTCACCATATCATACCATCTGGCACCATCTTCTATGTTTCTGGGACATAAAAAGGAGAGTCAGTGTTGTTGTGGAAAAGATTTGAGCTCAACTAGGGGTTCCACAATTTGTCCTTCCTTGACATGGAATCAGTATGCTATAATAATCTAGCTCCCCATAGGTGTTGCTGCCATTTTATGTTCTTTTGTCCTTGTTCAAAGATACCCAGGAAAAATATCCCATCAAACCTGTTTATGGTTACATTTTTATGAAAAGCATTCTTGTACTTGAATTTGTTTCGGTTTTGTCAGTTTGATTGTTTATATGTGTATTATTTACTTTCAGGCTTTTCAGACGATTCTTTAAATCCCAGAAATGGAACAAAAGTTGATAGTCATGCTGCATCCAGCAGTAACACTGGGTCAATTGTACTCATTGTATGTGTTGCCCTTGTGGCAGTAGTGCTTCTATCATTTTTCCTTTTCAAGTTTTGGCAAAAGAAGAAGCGTGAAGAGCAGTATGCTCGTCTGCTAAAGTTGTTTGAAGAAGATGATGAGCTTGAGCTTGAGCTGGGTCTTCGGGATTAAATTTGTGTCAAATGTTAACGACCAATGTACTGAGGTGAGGCTCCTTGTTGTACTCTCTTGGAAATGTTGCTCTGCTTTCTATTCCTAGCTTTTACATGGAATTTTGGAATTTATGTTTGGTGAATGAGCATAATGTTGTTAGCACATACCCCTTTTACCATTTAAGAAGACGTTCGGGTTCTTTTGAGTGTCTCAAAATGTTCAAAAATACTAACTCTGATCAACTGCATGTAAAATTTTTAGCTTAAACTGTAAACTGTGTAGTTCGGCTGTCTCTGTAAGTAATCTTATACAAAAACTTCAGCATGATATGAGAAATGCTTTTGTCTGGCATTACTGATGTCATACCTGAGCAAAGTAACTCTTTCAACCAACTTGCTTTGCCAAACTGTCGTATAAAAAATGGGAAGGAAGGAGCAAATATTACTCATTGTTCACCTTCCTAATGTTTATTACTGTATAGATATGCTATAAGGGTAGTCTTTAGTCATTTTTTTCATACAACTTTGTTCAGCATATCTGTAGGATGCTTTTATCTTTTTGTACAGTCTTCTTTTATTTCCTTTTTGTACCAAGTTGCAGGCAATCAAGCTATCTAGTCTTTGTTGTTGCTATGCTTTATCAGTAAAGTAGTTCCCTTCAGCTAATCTCAAAATTGTATCAAGATGAGTGATATATGGCTTGCTTTCTCTTGCCAAATATAACTGCAACAGAATCTTATGTTTCTCCTTTGCTAAATTCTTTCACCCTGATTTTCAGTTATTCTGTGTTGAGGTTGTCTTGTCTATTGGCAAAAAATATTGGAATGTGGAACTAATCAGATTTTATAAGTTATTAGCTTATGTGTGCTCTGTAAATTTAACGACTGGCATATATGCTCTAATAGTTTTCGTTACAAATGTTAAGGCCTGTTCTTGTATCAAATTTTATTAGCATGGGCTTATATGTGCCCTGTTATTATGCTTTATAAGTAACATACCTGTCTGTATACTTTGATTTGGTCTTGACTCCTAAGGGTGATTCCCCAGGAGGGCCTGGACAATTGTTTGATGTGCACATGGTATATTCTACGTAGTTTCTTTTAGTCTTTTGTAATTTGGCTGTTATATTATCATGTTACTATTTAGGCTCGAGTGTCAGCCTGTTCCTGTATCAGATTTTATAAGCATGAGCTTATATATGCCCTGTTATTATGCTTTATCAGTAACATAGTTCCTGTATGCTTTGATTTGGTCTCGACTCCTAGAGGTGATTCCCCAGGGGAAGGACTGGACAATTGTTTGATGTGCACGTGCTCTATTCTGCGTAGTTTCTTTAATCTTTTGTAATTTGGCTGTTATATTATCATGTTACTGTTTAGGCTCTTGAGTGTCAGTTTGTGTGGTCATGCTGATGAACAAGTATCTTTTTCTATTTCTTTTTTGAATGCCTATATGTTTTTTTTTGGTATCCAGTATCTGCTGAAAATGTGATATTATATGCAAAGGCTGTCAACTATTTGGATAGATCAGTCTTGTCCGCTTTTTGCATCTCACTTTTGCTTTCAATTACTATTTACCTGATATCATCTCGTTGTGTGCAGATGTAAGTAGTAACTTAAACCCAGATTCTTGATTCAATGATGACAATGAGTTGGATTGATTCCAGAATATTGACATAAATGAAGAGAAATCTTCATTTCACAATTTGTAGAAATATGTATCAGTGTTAGCAGAAACAAAACTATCATGCATTCTGTTCTTTGGGTACAGCGATCAATGGATAACAGATATTGCCAAACGTCACCCTCCCAAATGAGGATTGTAATTCATCTGTCACAATTTCACTCTGTAATAGTTGTTAGTAGGTGTTTGCAGCTTGTTAGATTGCTCTAAAAATTGAGGAATAATTTTAATCAAAGCTCAAATGAGCTAGACTGTACTTCAAGTTGTGCAAATTTGATTTTGTACCCTCTGATGTATCACTAGGCCTTAATATATTTTTGTTCTTTGTGTGTTAGATGTTGTATCCTCTAAATAAGAAGTCACACTTCATCAATGAAAATTTTACTATTTTTCACAACATGAAATGACAAGCCATTGAACAAACAAGACTTCAGGTTAGAGTTAGAACTAACATCAGTGACCCTAAAGCAAGGAACTGAAGTATTGGTATAATTTAAAGCAAAATATTCAGCATATCTTGTCAAACTTCTGTTCTTCTCAATATATTTATTCAGAAGTTGATGCAGTTTGACCTGCAATAATTAAAATAATACATGAATCTCACAAGTTTCGAATAAGAAACAGATTATTCTGATTGATTTATCACATTGACCACTAAACCTAGATTAAGACTAAAGGTCAATACCTCTAGGAGAGATGGTTACAGAAAAAGGGAAAAAAAACATTACGCCTATATCTAAAGAATCTGTTTGAAGATTCCTGCATTCTGTACCAGAAGCAAACTTGGGAAGTCTTCCTAATCGCGCAGATAAGCTATCATCTGTGTCGATCACTAGACAAACAGCATTTCAGCAATTACTTGTCATCTTCCCGTCTTTGCTCGTTTCATTCCTGTATTACTAAATGGAGACATGCTAGGGCTCATTCGCGGACTCATGCTTGGGCTTTCTTCCCTTAGTGTGCCATTTAGCATGGCCAATTCTCTTAGTTGTTGCTTCTTATAAACATCCACAGATTCATCCTGATACAGGAAAAACGAGGGAGAAAAGAGTCAAAGGGCTAGATAAAAGATGGAAGCAAATGATGGCAAATCGCAGCTATATCCTTTTAACTCGTACCACAGGCTTTAACAAGTTCTCTAGGATCGACACTGCATGATCAATGCGCGCGTCAATGATGTCTTCCGGAAATTCAGCCTCCACCAGGAGATGTAGTGGCTCTTTGAGATGCTCATACCCAGGTTTATCTTTCAATTTCTCTTCCTACAGGAGGGGGGAAAAATGCAAAAAGCAATTTAAAACTAACTTATAATTTAAACAATAAAATGATTCAGGACATTAAAACAATTATTCTTTCTAAAAATGAGAATGATGTCTGCTAGGTGGTTTGATCATACAAGGAAAAAAAACAATGGAACTCTTCATAGACATATGGAGAAGATATCTTTCAGCCAGAATTTCTGCAACTGATAAAAAGCAACAGTACTTCCTTGGTTAGGCTTAAACGCTACAGAAAGCACATGGTTGGCTAGCAGAGAACTATGAGGCACATAAAAAATTGCCTCCCTGAAATTTATTTACGAGTGAAAAGAAGACCAAAGATGGCATGTATCAGGCTTTAGTTTCAATCAACACATGGAGTTCACTTGAATATTATAGATTCAAGCCATGTCTGCTATAGCAACATGAGAATGCCATATTTGAAGTCAATTTCATCTACCAGGCAGACAAATACATGACAACCCCCTAAAGTTGGCATTACTTCATTTTGACACCTCAACTGACCCTCGTACCTGTTAGACAACCCCCTAAAGTCTGGCCCAACTTATGTGCACCTAGACTTACCCACAGGATACTTAGTACCTCCTAACAACACAAGTACTATGTGACTCTATCCACCAACACTTGATAGATGGGACAGAAATCACCTAGTACTGTTTGCCTCAGCTGGAATTTGAACCCTGGTCTCCCATGGTCCACTCCAGTTTCATTGACCACCAAGCTACACCTATGGGTGCATAAATTTTTTATTTATGTTACTGCTTGCTTTTCTCTGCAGCTTAGCAATTAGCCTCTTGTAATTGTTAGCAGAATTTGATTGGTCAAGGTTGACCACCTCTTCAGATAAAAACAGAAGAGAGATGACTATGGCATTTGATATTTTCAGCACTTATCTAAATAATCAATTGCACATTTCAGGCACTAAACTTCACACCAGTAGAGTAGAATGATTTTAAGACAGGGAGACTGAACAATACACATTCCACCCATAAAGATTTTATCAGCTAGTCGTTTGGAAAGATGGATGCAAACCCATCATCAGATAATGGCTCTAGAAAAGATAAAGAGATGAATGTGGCATCAGTTGCAACCCTTGCTCATAAATTTGAAGTCAAAATATAACATCCACAACAACTAATTTAGACCACTAAATTGGATATGTTTTTACTGTTTTTTGCTTGTATAACAATGGTTCCTAGGCCAGCTTGTGTGAATCTCAATTAATCTTTTAGCTACTTGCTACCTCCACCAACAGATGTACCAGGTCAGTTTGTCCGAGACTCAAAAAATCCACTACGAGTATTAAGCATAGTTTTGACAAAGCACTTCAGAGCAGTCATTTTCAGACAAAAGCAAAGGATGTATGTGCGTGTGTGACAGAGAACACTTCTCTTATAGAGGCATACTATGCCCTCATGAAGCAAGCCATAGTAGATCTTAAGTTTATTCAAGCTTTGCTCTTACAACAAATATTGAGTGAGAAGAAAAAAAGGGCTTACCTTGATCGAGTCCTTGACTGAACCTTGTCCTCTGATGTAGACTCTGCACTCTGTAATGGCTTCAACCCTCTTTAGGGAATTCCCACGTGGTCCCAAAATTCGACCGACAAAATTATACTGCATGTTTTTTATTTGGTCAAGATCTGTTCCAAAATTTAGAAAGAAAAAGAGCAACATGAAACACCACCCTAATAACGTTCACATACATTTGGGAAATTCTCCACAGGAACATCCAGTCTTATGACTCTCTTCACAACAGGAGTGGTTGCAGTTCCCGGCACAACATGCCAATCCAGAGGTGAAGGTTGAAATGGTGCTATTTTCTGGAGAAGTCTATTTTCCTGTAGTAAGTAAAAAAACATCAAGTGGTAAATCATCCAGTAGCAATGTCTGCAAGCAGTTATTCAAACTCCTTCAAGGTATTAACTATTAAGATGGACTCAGCGAATATATTATCAAAACCTACATACAATATCTGTAATGCGGAATAGGAGTAACAACTCCTATAATACCTGACTAAGGCTAACACCACAAAAAGTGCTAAGCTTTTTTTTTCTTTCTATTTATGGCTTACTAGGTTATGTTTTGTGCTTTGACAAGGAAGCAACAAGTGTAAGGAAAAAAAACGGGGGTTATGTTTTCATTAAAGTAAACCATGTGGCAAGGATAGAATTCGGTGTTATCAAAGGCGAAAAGCGCAAAAAAGCTCCAAGGTATGGGTGCTTTAAGCGCAGATAAAGCATGGGCTTTAACAAAAAAAGGCGCAAAGGGAGAAAAGAATAAAATATATATGTTTAGTCCAACACTAATAACTATAAACATATATGACATATATATGACCAAAGAAATTGAAAAAAAAAATTATGATAAAGTAAAATATCAATTATTTAACCTCAAATTCTTCATTAGAGGCTCACTGGCCTTAGAACCTTGATGACGACACTAAAGAGCACATAAAGTGAGGCGAAGCGCTCAACACATTTTGAGACTTGCTTTAGGGCTTAAGCGCGCCTTTGATAACACTGGGATAGATTACATTTCTAGGAAGAGCAAGAAGTCCATAAAAACATCTGAGAATTTTATTGGATGGCATATAAGGATAAAAACACAGGTCAAACAGTAAATTTGATTGCTGAAACTCCGCACAGAGTTGGCAATATTATCCTCCACAAAGCTACTACTATCGATAATGATGCATGAAAAATCCACCTGCTGTACTTACATTTGTTTCTAACGTTTGCGAACAAGCATAGTATTCTACCGCTCAAGCCAAATAGATAATTGAAACAACAAATTGAGCACAATATTTCCTGAGCTTAAGAAAGTGAATCCCCCTGACGTGCATCTACATACAGAAGCATTTTATCTAATATGCCTGTTAAGGTGGGTGGACCTAGTAGCTCGGCAAGCTCAAGAAAGATAGCTTCGGCTAGTGCAGTTTAGATTTTGCCAAGCCAGCAAAAGACCAATGAAGCTGTGGGAATCGTTTTGTCCAAACAAGGGATGAGGTCTCAAAAGCTCCTGGTTGTGATGGCTACAATGCTTTCAAAAAGGAAGAGGGGGGGGGGGGGGGGTATTCGAGAGGAGGTCACTGATGCAGTCTTGGGAACAGTAACACTGATTCCCAAGGCGCATAACCCAACTAAGATCACCGAGTACAGGCCATTATCATGTTGTAATATCTTATACAAACTTATCTCAAAAATACTGACCCACAGGATGCAGAAGGTGATGGATAGATTGGTGGATGCAATTTATCCCTGGTAGAGTGGTAGCGTAATTACTGATAACATTATTATGAGCCATGAGCTCATTAAATAGTAAGGGAGGAAAAAGATCTCACCTAGGTGTATGCTAAAGCTTGGCATGAAGAAAGCTTATGAATCCATTGACAGGACCTCCCCACAACAGGTTCTCAAGGGTTTGAGCTTTCCCACACAGTTCCATAAGCTGGATTATGACCTGTGTCACACAGTTTCACAATTTACACTCATTAATGGCACCCCTTCCCGTGCCAAGAAGGGTCTAAGGCAAGGAGACCCCTTGTCCCAATTCCTTTTTGTACTACCCATGGAATACTTGAATAGGCAACTCAAAACCTTGAAGAAGCAACCTGGTTTTAATTTTCATCCCTAGTGTGAGAAATTGTGCATTACTCACCTTGGGTTTGCAGATGACTTGTTGCTTTTTTGCAGGGTTGACCTTAAGTCTGTCTCTATGTGACATTTTTAATGCCTTCTCTAGTGCTTCTGGTCTTGTGGACTGAGAAGAGAGCATTTATTTTGGAGGTGTTAATGTGGCTGACCAAGCAGCTATACTACAGCTTCTGGGATTCACAAAGGTGCTCTTCCTTTCAAGTACCAAAGTATACTCCTCATGGCCTCACCTAAAAGAAAACCTCATTGACTCAGTAAAGCCCCTTATAGATAAGATGATAGACAAGACTAAGCCTTGGCCTCTAGATTCCTATCATATGCTGGTAGGTTACAATTAATCAAATCTGTCTTGTTGTCTGTCCAAAACCCTTGGTCACAAGTTTTTATTCTGCCGAAGAAAATGATCCACGTAGCAGAGTCCTTGTGTAAGGATTCCTGTGGGCTGGGGTTGCTGAGACCGCAAAAAGGCTTTGATTGCTTCGGAAAAGTTATGTATCCCCAAAGACAGTGGGTGGTCTTGGTTTCTTAGACATGATTGTATGGAATAGAGCTACCATTTGTAAGCACTTCCTGGAATCTGTGTTTGAAAAAGGCAGGTTATGGATCCAATGGGTCCATACCTACTTCATTATAGGTGACACAGTACATGGCATGTGCATGATAAGCAAGCCTCATGGATGATCAAAAAGATCCTCAATGCCAAAAGAACTCTGGAAGCAGCTGGCTATGAGGAGCAGGATGTTGTTGCTATGACTAAAATCAGCACACAAACTGCCCATTATAAGCTGAGGGGGGACACTACACTAGTGAAGGGGATTAAGTTAGGGTACCAAGATGGCTTTTTGGGGAACACTTTTACCTAGATATAGGTTAGCCAAATGGAGTATTCTACCTGCTATTTCCTGCCTTCTTTGCACCAACACTGATGAGAGCCTGGACAGTTTGTTCTTCAAGTGCCAGTACGCAGCTGCCGTTTGGGATAGGCTGCTCTCATGGCTGGGATTCTAAGGGTATCTCTGGAGTGGCATGAAGAAGTGACGTGGGCTTTAGACATGCTAGTGGCAAGTCAGTGCAAGCTATCCTATACAGATCAGGATTTAGCATGCCGTCTATAATTGGTGCTGCAGGAGAGAAACATGGCGTCATTTCCCCAGAAGAGAAGAAGACGTGATGTGTAAGTGAGGATGGCTGTTCAAGCAATCCTTTCCAGGGGCTCTCTATTCCTTAGGTTGAATAGTAGGCTGGCTTACTCAACAATTATCCATAGGCTATGTTAGATAGGTAATGCAGATCTCTTGATGTATTTTGATTATTTTTCCATCAGAGCTTGGGGCTTGTTGTCTAACACTGTAAGACTTCTGTACTACTTTGCTACTTAGATAGTTTGAGAATCAGGAAAAATCAATTAACTGAAATCAACAATGTTATACTAATGACTCTAGCATACTCATTACGTGATAAGAACAAGTCTGGAAGAGTATGACCACATTACGCACAACGGTCGTGCCATAATTACATTCCAAAGTATGACCCATAACAGCCATACATACCTAAGGTAACCTCCATTAAGTATAGAAGCTTATCATACCTCAGTTTGCATTGCACTCCATGCCCCCTTATTTATCTGACCTCCATTCATATGTTGACTGACTGATCTATGTGGACTCTCTTGTCCCATCCTCTCCTGATCCACGAACTGATTTGACAACAAAGCTGTTGTTCGCATGATTTCTGCAGAAGTAAGAAATCCAAAACCTTATTCAGTCACTTAATTGGATGCTTCCCTCAATTTACCTTTCACAAGATTTCAGCGAAGATCGTCAGTAGTGGATTTACCAAGATATCCATAGACATCATTTTAGCTTCATTTTTAACCAAATTCACCTTCATCCCTTTTGAACATATAGTAATACCATATTTGAAGTTTGAAAAATAGCATGCATAGAGAACACAAATGAATCATTTTCCTTAGAACTACTGTCCCAATCCCTAGCTTCATCCACTGTCAAACACACAACTTAGAGAGCAAAATATTAAGCTACAGGGTCAAACTCAACATCAAACTTTGTATTGATGCAAAAAGTCCATTATTCCAGGACTATATAATGATGCTGAAGAAAAGTGGAAGAAAGTGGAAATCAGACACTTGTCCAGGTCAGGCTTTCAATCAAATTCTATGATTTGTAGATTTGAATTTACACTTATTAATGTTGCATCCAGGAAAGCTACTTAGAGACTTCTGTTTGGCAACTTAGCATTTGGTAAATAATTCTTTCCTATTCCACTTACTGATTCTTTAGTTAATTAGATATTAGTGTTCACATCTTAGTTTAGATTTTAGAATCCTCCCGATGTCAGAAGTCAACCAAAAAAAGTTGCCCTTTAAACCTCTAGACAATAGGAAAAAAGAAAAGTAGCAAAAAATTGACGGATTCTTTGAATCCAATATATTTGGACACTCTCCTTGGTTAAGCTTTTCTAGCTAATTTAGTGCATGATATTAATAAATATTTAACTTAAAGCAGTGTACCTGGAGATTACAAAGGACTCCCAGAACAATATATTCTTTATTTATGTCTCAATCTTCTTCCTCTTTGTAAAGCATTATTTGTAGCACCAATAAATCAAGCTTATTAGTTTTGTTTCAATACAAATCAAAAACCCCAAATTAATACAAATCAGTCCTTGGTTTTTTTTTCCCTCTTGATAAGTAAATCATTCCTAGCCTATTAAGATTCCACCCCCATGGCCCAATCATAGGCTTACAAAACCTCCAACTTGCACTTTATCGCCTTCATTTTATCACTAAAGAATCATGACGCTAAAAATTTTCCATTAATGACTGATTTCTGGCTATGATGCAGTCAGAATGATTGGACATCCAATAAGGCATCATGTGCAACAGGGTAAGATAACGGACATCCAGCAAAAAGAAAGCTCAAGTGATTTGCCTTTAACTTGAGGAGAAAACTCATGTATTTAGACCACAAAATAAATCCGTGGGTCAGTCTTACGTTTGCTGATATTTAAACATTTTAAAGAAAACACATCAGAGTAGTTGCATAAGACAGTCTGATCAAGACAATGAAAGATCCTAAACTTAACAAAATAACATCTACCAGTGTTGTGAAAAGCGAGCTTAAAGTGCGCTTCAAAGCGAGGCGGCCCTTGTGCGCTTTTTTATCTTGAGGCGAGGCGATCTGAAAAAAGCTCTCGCTTCAGATGAAGAAGCGAGAAGCGACCCTAAGGCAAAAGCGCAATAAAGCGTGCTTTTTATAAAAAAAAAAAAAGCGACAATTAGGGTTTTAAAAAAAATAGGTTTTTTTTTTAAAAAAATAATCTGAAATATAACCTTCTCTCTCCTCACGACTCTTCTTTCACGACTCTTTCCCTTCTTTCTCTCCTCGCGGCTCTTCTTTCACAATACTTCTTTCCCTTCTTTCTCTCCTGACGATCTCGACTGAGGCTGCCTCTCTCTTCAACCTCTCTTCTTTCACAATACTTCTTTCCCTTCTTTCTCTCCTGACGATCTCGACTGAGGCTGCCTCTCTCTTCAACCTCGACCGCGACTGCAGGTAACTTTTTGTTCATCTCTTTTTTAGCTAATGTTTATTAGTTCATCTCTATGAGTTTCTTATCTCCTAAAATATACAATCTTCGCCTGTGCTTCATCTCTTCATCTCTCTGAGTTTCGACTACTCTAGTTTTTTCTTCTTCTCTTCTTTTCTTCATCTCTGTTGCCTGCTCTGTTTCTAATTACTAACTGCTGCCTCTTTTGTGTTTTTTTTTCAATTCTTTTGTTGTTGTTTTTAATTTTGTGATTAGTCTAGCAGCCTTGTTGAAGAATAGGAGTTTGAATCTTTGTGATTTAGTTATGTTTTTGATTTTTTTGCTTTATATGTTATGACTTATGAGTATTTTTGCCTATGTAATTTCTTTCAATCTAAGACTATATTACCTTTATTTAGTTATTTAATATTTTTTTATTTTCATACTAAATGTTGCTTTTTTTAAAAAAAGTGCGCGTTTCGCTTCACGCTTCTCACTTCTGTGAAGCAAGCCCTCGTCGCTTTTTTCCGCTTCTCGCTTCCCAAAACACTGACATCTATTAATAATTCTACCATTAAGGTCAACAATTTAGGCATATCAGGAGAACTTTCTTCGCCATTTATTTTGTAATTATTGGTTGTTGACCAAAAAAAACCATTGCAGAAACAACAAATGTTTCCATCTTTTTCATCAAATTATTCAACTCCAAAGTACTTGAATTATTTGTTCTTTACATTTGGGAGATCAAAAAGCACGAAAGAATGCAATCTATGTCGTTATATTATTAAACCTTAATATGCTTCGAAAGCAAATCCTTCTACACGTGGGCTGTCAAGCACGTGTGTACAAAAAAGGAACATTGAATATGATGTGTAGCAGCCGAACATGCAATTGATGGAAGTTAAACTTATATCTATGTGAGGCTGAAGAAAGGTATAAAGAGACTCTTACTTGAACTTTTTGGGGTTATATATATTTCTTCTTCATGCTGGTTGGTCGGGATGTGGTGTTACGGAAAAAAGAAATAATAACTCTTAAGACCCTCTACTCACTTGGAATCTTGTGTAGCAACACGTCAAATTTTCCAAGAGTGTTCTGACTATGAGAGCAAGCTTTGGCGCAACGGTATTCTCCTCCCGTAACTTGTAGATATATGTTCAAAGGTGGAAACTATCTCTTTGCAGAAACGCTATGGGAATATTGCGAACAGTATATGCCCAATCGCCCACTCACCTGCACCAGCCAGAAGCACTTCGTACACAGGATAAGCCCAAGCCCGCCCACGACTGGTGTTTGAACTATGCAATCATTTACATCTTTTATTTTAAATTAACCAATCAGGCTATCGTCATCAAACAATTAAACAGTTTGTTGGGATAAAACATTTAAAAAGCTTTCAACAGAAGAAAGAATCTTCTGCTCCAACATAGAGATACCCAGAACTATTATAAAAAGTTCTCATGGTTACAATTTACTACCTTGGTTTAGAAGTCTATTGCATATAGGAAGTATCTGCATGAATGGCCCCAATTTTTGCCTCTCCCCCAATAACTCTGCCAAATATCTGTCATTTCGCAACCAGCCAAATCACATATTAATAAGGAGAGATGTATCTAGAGTTGACAAAGAAAGTAATGGTAATAGGGTATACTCTATTTCAGTTATTTATAAAAATTGACCGCTTGAACTAGAGTCCAATGTAGATGCTAATCAGGCAGCAAATATGGACTTAACTCGTGGTTAAACATAGAACAGTCTTATGACAAACATTATTGACCTTGTACATGAGGTTACTGAGAAAATCGGCTAAACACCGAGAAATTTTCCTTGGTAAACGAGAACTTGAATAAACTTAAATCAAATAAAGAGTAGTTATAATCAGAATATCCTATTCAATTGAGAAAACTCAACTACTCAACCCGATTTTCATGACACAACCAAGAAAACCTTGATTCAACAGCAAAAGGAACCTGAGTCAAGTGATCAACCAAGCCTAGAGTCTAATAGAGTATAGGGAAAGTGGCACAGTAATATATTTGGATCCACCTGGTTAAGCCCTGATGCGTGTTGAAGATAGTAGATGCAGGCACAACCACTGCTTTCGTCTTTAAGTAAATTACAACTATATATTCACATAAAATTTGAACCAATTATTAAAATAATTGTGGGTGCCTTGAAATCTTGGATCTTGTACCACAGAAAAGGATCCTAAAGTGTCACCACATGTAAGAACAACTTAGAAACCAATATCCAACAATCATATAGACGATATTATCAAGGTTTTATTGACTCAAGATGCCTATAGAGACAATTAACAGAAGAAGACAACCAAGAAACCACAAAACCCAACAAAACAGATCCAGACCCAACATTCCAAGAAAGCAGTAACTAACGAAAGCTGATTGAAAACAATAATATAATTACTCAAACAAGAATCAAGATTTAACCTTTCACGATCTGTAAGAGAAGATGACCTATGAAGTGGACCATGGATTCCAGTTGGAGAGTACTGGAAGTAACTCCCAGGGGGTATTCTATTCTCCAAATTCATCTAAGAAACCAATTCTACAATAAAATCTTTAGTCAAGAAACAAACTTTTGATAATGTCTGCGATACATACATACAAAGATACAAAAGGGGGTCTTACTGTGAACAGCTGTTGATTGCAAGGCAAAAAGGGGAAGGTGGGGAAGAGAGACTTCAGTCTGCTTCCCCCCTTATTGGACCTTGAGTTGTTGTTGTGGGGGGAAGAAAGGGACTGCTCAGTGGGAAAACTCCCTATAAATACTAATGGCTGCTACTCACAAAAGGGTGTGCCAATGGAGTAAGACCTTTTTTCACCATCACATATATTTGTTCTTTTTATCTATACATAAAAAATTTATAATATCCAATTAATAGTAAGCATTTAATTAATGATACATTTAAATTAATTTGAAACTAATGAACTTGACCGAAATGTTTAACTACAGCACATTCCTAGGATTTCCTATTGTATAGAATAAATGTATTGGGCAATGCCTTTCTTTTCTTGAATTCCAAAATTCTCCGCCTTTTCTCAGCTTGAGGGTCAGCTTCTACTTACTTCCTTCTAGAAGCGAAGGTTGGCAAGGAAGACCCATTGATGTTTTATTCTATGCCATGCCGCAAATTCAGTATACCAATGTTAGCGAATCAGATTCTTCGAAAGAAGAGTCTGTAGGGGCAGCAAATCTAGTTTCCAAATAAGTAAGAATCTAAACTGCGTAATCAAAGCGACTCCTTGTTGGTGGTTGATAGGTGTTCCTTCCAAAGCGAAATAATCACTCCTGTAACTTATTGCGCTCGATCTACATCCTATCTAACTCGATTAAGCTTTTCTTCTTACACACAGAAGGTTTTTGCTCTCGTATTGCGGGTTTTTCACTTCGTATTCTTTTATCTAAGCTTCTTCCCTGTGCATTAGCTCCCCCCATTGTAGATGGTTCAGCTACGCTCGGTGCCACGAAATGATTGAGAACTACGACTGGGTCGAAATGCATTTTCTTCTTTGTATTCAATAAGTATTGCATGACCGAATAATTCTATCTCTTGAAATCCATCTTTCTTTGAGCTAATTACACTAGAAAATTATTCGTTAAAAAATTGCAATAGAAAAAAATTAGCGATATAAATTTTTTAACCTATTGAAACTCTCTAGAGGATTGCACCCATACATAGTTTTCCTCCATTCACATAGTGTCTCTATCTAAATTAGAAAAAGGACTTTTTTTTATTAGTTCGAGAAAAGTATCATTGATTTGGTCATTGTGCAAAAATATATATATTTTTTAATTGAATTGAACCAATATTTTTGAAATTTAGTTTGATGCCGTGCGGAAATCTCCACCGATCGTTATCGAAGTCATTAAGTTTTGTTTCCCTTTATCCTTCACTGATTAAGTAAAAATTTGTTATTGACATTTTATAGCAACTTGATCGAATCTGTGAAGTTTTCTTTTCTAATATTCGATCCAAAGCTGATAATATCTCACTATAGCGAGACATTTCCATTGGAAAGGATAGAGAACTGCTACTTTCTGATGATTGAAGAGTCCCAAGACTCTGAGAAATAACGAGTAACGAATAATTTAAAGAGCTTTATAATAAATTATACTAATAGCAAGAATTCAATTCTTTAATTGAAAATAATTTTATCAAATACGTATAAATATTTCTTTGATTATATATTATGTATAAAGAAAATTCCCACAAATAGAAAAACTTCTGTGCACCAGGGTATTAAATGAATTAGTATTTTTTTGGTATAAAAAAAGGACACGTGTAACAGATTTTTAACTAAAATACGTTATTTCTTATTTTCCTTTTCACTGTTTAAACCAAAAAAAAAAAACTTTTTGTGGATCTTAAGTTGTCTATTTTTTTATTCTTTTCTAACAAGTTTTGTGACAAAAAAACACATAATTAGAAGAAGAAAAACAATAAATCGAATTTATTCCCACCTTAATCCCTTTATGTCATTTTCTTCTTTGCTGTCGAGTATCACTTACAATGATGTTCTTTTTGAATTTAGAATAAATGATAAATATATTTATAGTAATTTAAAAAAAATTGTTAAAAAAAAGGAAAAATTATAAGGCTATGTAAATTTATACTATTTAATTACTCATTATAGCTATAGTTTGCTATAATTACCACTCGCGACTAACATTATACATTAATTACGTGGGTTGACTTCGAGTTTGTATAATTAGTTATGTTTGTAATGTATAATTCGTCAGGATATACAATTAAATATGTATAATATACAATTTTTTAACCTATATACATATACAATTCACCTCTCTTCCCTCTCCTGCTCGACTCTCTCCTCTCTCTCTCAATCTTGCTCGCCTCTCTCCTCCCTCTCCCAATCTCGCTTGCCATTTATACAAATGTATATGTATAATATACAGCTATATACAATTATATATATACAATTCACCTCTCTCCCATTCTCTGCCCTCTCTCGCTCGCCTCTCTCCCCCCTCTCTCGATATCGCTCGCCTCTCTCCCCCTCTCCCATTGTCGCTCGCCTCTCTCCTCCCTCTCCTAATCTCTCTTTCTATATGTACAAATACATATGTATAATATACAATTATCTAACCAATCTGTATATAAAATTCACCTTTTTCCCACTTTTTTTCCCTCTCTGTCGCCTCTCTCCCCCAGTCTCACTATGTGAAAGTTTTCCAAAAAAATAAGTATTGACAAATCGGTAAAAACATCTTTAAATGGAAGCAAAAGCATTTTCTGTTGTCGAAAAGAAACTAAAAGTTTTTTTTTTCTTAAAATTAAGATATTCTTTTTCATATGTACATATTTATCAATATATTCTTCTTAATTAATTAGCATATTTCATAAGTTTTGTTGAATTTCATTTAAAAATTTATTTATTTTTATATATTATTTTACGTATTATTTTGTAGAACTAAAAAAAAGATAACAACAACATTTTACAAGATTAGAAAAAAAACCACCCATGTAAAATTTAATTTTTAAAAAATATTAATTTTTTTATAATATTAGTGCATTTTAGTTGTCTTTTTTTTTATAATTTGACTGTTAAAAATATTTTTAAAAAAAATTAATCAAACACAAATACAAATTTCAAATAAATTAGTCAAACACAAATTATCTTTTTTTTTTTAAGAAACTTTTCTAAAAAAAAAAGTTATTTTAAAATAGTTTGGTTTGATTTGTTTGCATTTACGTATTGACTGAATGGACACATGTTTCTAATCTTACCCAATTTAAATTTTTTTATTCTTCTAACAATTAACCTTTTTTTTTTCTTCTTCTTCTTAATATCATTGAAATATCTTTTATACATCCATTAAAAGTGTATTTTATTTATAGCTATCAAAAAGAATTTTGTAATAGAAATCATGCAACAAAAAATAAAACAAAAAAGCAATTATATATATATTTTTGTAAGAACAACTTTTTTTTAAAAAAAATTCACCGTATGACTCGACCCAAATAGATGACCCATGACTCCTACATAAAAAGTAAATTTATGCACTTCAAAAGAAACAAGAAAAATCTATGTGCAGTATATCTTAAAATTGTATTTATATAATAAGAAAAAATAATGTATAATATTGTTGATGTGTTGAATCATATTCGTTAATGTGTTCAGTAATTTTAAATATGATAATTATGTCTGTTTGACAAAATCTTTTTATTAAGTCTCCAATAATTAAAATTTTCTTTTGATAATACAAAATTGTATTGGTTATACAACAATTCAGCTAAATGAACTATATTCATAAAAATATTATAAAAGCTCCAAATAACTTGAATTATTTATGAGAAAGTAAGAAATTTGAGTTAATTGCACATATATGTCCATACTTATAAGACGCATGTATGTCTTATTTGTAGTTAAAATTCATCAATTTTTTTTATTTTTTTATAATTTATTTTTTGATATTTTTCTACCATTAACATGAACCATCGTCACATATAAAAGTAAATAATAATAAAAATACCCTCATCATAATGTTTATTTTTTTTTCATTATTGCATTTACACTTTATTTTATATTTATAAGAAATGTCAATATATCAAATTTATTTATACACACACAATTAAAAATGACTATTGCTTATATATTTATTATACATATTTAAAATTGCATGTCAACTAACATGAATAATTGTTGAACTTGATAAAGAACATACAAATAATTCACTTGTACATAATGGCAAAATTATTATTATTTTTACCAATGCTTAATTAATAAGGTTGAATTGGCTTTTTTGAATTAATATAAAGTTCATGAGTAAGACGATTATTTTTTTTTACTTTAGGCATTTTTGGTCTATTTTTAATTTATTGATTTTAATTATTTTTTTATTATCAACCAATATTGTATTGATATATATATATATTATTAATTATATATTTAGATATAATATTTACTATAGAATAATTTTATTCAGTTTCAGTAAATCATATGTTTGTTTACTTAATATGGAAGATTATATAGTATATATAGTTTTAGGTTATGCGTAAAGGATTAAATCATCCGTTCTTCCTAGTACAATTTTTTTTTGTTCACAATCTTGAAGAAAATTGGAAATGTCATCAAGATAATTGAAGCACAAGATTATATATAACTTATCTTGATTATGAGAATAATATAGTTCCAACTCTATGTGTTTGTGTATTTTGTATGTGAACGAGACCTAGTAGATATAGTTACTTTAGATCGAGTAACAAAAACACATTTTATAAACTGTTAAACATACGTATATTCTTAATCCTATTATAACTATTATGATATATATATATAAATTATCATTTTTAATTTATTCAAATATGAGATTCTGAAATAGGTCTATATATTTTATATATTTTGATAGATTGGATGATAATATATATATATATATTATATTTCGATTCTCAAACGACGGAGAGGAGGAGGAGTCGAAGAAAAAGAAAAAAAAAAAGGCTTTTGACAGCACTGCGTCGAGTATCCGTATTCGTATCTCTATATAAGTAAATTCCCCTTTCGTCACTCTCTCTATAATTCGTTCTTCTCTCTCTGGTTTTCTCATGCATGAACATTCGCAATGAAATTGGAAAAATTAGGGCAAAACAATTGTGAATTTCGTCAATCGATGTTGTGGAAGCTCTAAGGGGAGATGTGAATTTGTGATTTCTAATTTTCTTTATTTTCTTTTTCTTGGTGTAAAAGATCAAAGGAAAAAGTATTCGCATGAAGGGGCCGTTAGATCGATCAAAAGTAGTGCTGCGGCACTTGCCGCCGACAATTTCTCAGTCCATGCTTCTTGACCAAGTTGATTCCCGATTCGCTGGTCGATACAACTGGTTCTGTTTTCTACCCGGCAAGTCCAGGTTAGGGTTTTGAGTTCTTGGTTTTCAAACTAATTTTGGCGTTTTTTTTAAATACAAATTTTACTTACTGGGACTGATTGATTGTGTAGTTAATTATAACCGATTATGGAAAAAGAAAGAAAGAAATCAAAGATTATATCTGGATTCTTGATTTCCGAGTTCTTGATTTTTCATGAAAATTTTGTGTGTTTAGGTAATATGGTTCCTGGCTCCTGATTAAGATTGTATAGGCAATAATAACCCCATCCAACAAAGGATATAAAGAAAGAAAGAAAGTAAAGAAAATCAAAGATTCTATCAGGAGTCTTAACTTCATGTTGATTTTGATAGGTTGTGAACTTCCGAATTTTTTTTGAAGATTTTTATTTCTTGAATGGATAGAATTGGATATTATTGAAAAAACACAGCACCAACCAAATATTTATTTACACCAAGATGCAAGAAATCATGTTATGTAGGCAAGCTTTGTAAGTATTTCTTTATATTGTATGTGTTCGTTTAGGTTTCAGATTGTCAGTAGTGTCACTGATTGATTGTTATTTGTTGTTGATTGGAGAGACAGGTATGTTTTTGGTAGATTTGGTTGCACAAATACCAGATATCCTGTTAAAAAGTGGTCACGCTTAAGGAGTTGAAATACCCCTTAAAGAAAAGAAAGCAGCGCTGCAATAAATATTCCCTCCCTTTTGTTTGCATGTAAAGGGCATGGTTGCAAATGAGATCGTTGTTGGTGTAGTTGTCTGTATTGTGCTATCATTCTTTCGTAGCTTGTTTTCCTTGGTGAGAGACTGGGGTCTTCTGGATTTTTTATATTTTTTTCTTTTCTGGGTCTTCTGGATTGATTCACCTGTACCTATGATTTTATCCTTATTTTCCCTTCTTTAATGTCTCTCATTATTTGGAGATCTCTTTTGGATGGTAAAACTTTTTGCATAATTAGTACAAATACGAATTGAGCAGTTTATTCAGATAAGGTGATAGCGTTTATTTCCTTAACTTGTATAGGTATTTTTGTTAGAGCAATGACCGGGTGTGCTGCATATTGAAGAAAACTGTGAACTAGATTGCCACCTGTATGAGAGTGTTTGCCAGTGATAGCTCTGAATCTAATTTAAAGCATTGTAGTTTGTCCAGTCTGTTCTTTTCTTATTTTGTTTTATCCGGATATGCGTTGATACAGGTTATCTGGAAATTAATTCATCAAATTTATCGTCTTTTCTAGAAAACTTACCGGAATTTACGTTTTTGTCCTAGCTCACCTCATTTACCGTAGTCCTTGCTAGTTGGAGATTTTTTGTTGGATGGTCTATCTATTTTCAGAATCTATACGGAGTTGAATTATTTTGCAAATTAGGGAGATTATCTTTACTGCCTTTACTTGTTAGACTTTAGTCAGAAATACTAACTGCTGTGGTGCTGTTTGGAAGAAAATGCTGACTAGATTGCCACCGTAAGAGGGGTTCACACTTTTGGAAAGCAGATTTTGAAGTCACTTATCTGTGTTTTTTCCTTTCCATCTCTTTTTCTTCTGGAACGGTATGCCTTCCTCAAATTTGCTTGAAATGGGGGGTGGAATGTTTATCAATGAAGGATGATCTCACCTCTATTGTTTTGATTACAAATTAAAATTGATGAGGTGCTGTTGTGAAGAGAATGTTGAACTAGATTATACTGCCACTTGGGCAAATGGGTTGCCAAAAACTGCTTTTGGTGTAATGTAACATCCTTTTGTGTGAGTATTTTAGTTCTTATCTTTGTCAAGTTTGGTCCAAAAGACCCTTTATTAGTCTATTTATCCCCCCCCCTCCCCACCCAAATACACACACAAAAATAAAATTTTAAAAAGACACCTTTTTTTTGCTTTCTTATATCCAGGTGATCTTTTGGATTGCTATAATCCTATAACTTCTTATCCACATCGATGCATGCTTAGACATCATAGAAAACATTGTCAGGGGATACTTTATCTCCATTTGTTGGTACTTCCTATTTACATTTACTCACGCGTGTTTAACTGTGTACACAGTACACACCTTTTTTTAAGAATGATAGTACGTATATTATTATGTAGATGCTTATCCTAGTTTTCCATTCACTGAAGTTTCAGTTGGATCAATGTCCTTGATGGATTTTATTTTATCCTTATGCCCATTGTAATTTTTCTTTATTATTTACTCTGTTGGTAAGATTATTTAACTGTGTTCCATTCTAAAATTTTTATTTTCCCAGCTCTTTACACAACATGAACTTAATATGCTTTAGGTTGCCAAAAGTGTACTTTGTTTTTCAAGTTTAGTGTCCCTCATAGTTTCCTTTACCTCAATTTTTCTCCTGCAGTCAGAAGCATCAAACTTATTCAAGAGCCTATATTGAATTTAAGAGGCCAGAAGATGTTATCGAGTTTGCGGAGTTCTTTGATGGACACGTTTTTGTAAACGAGAAAGGTAAAGAAATTTGGCCTAAATCTGTATTCTCCCTTCCATATGATGTTTAAAATTGTTTTAAATCCACCCGGACATCTTGCTACAGGCTTAAAGTTCTTATCCTGTTAATTGTAACAAGAAAAGTTTGAGCCCTTGCTTTATCTGGGTCCTGACAGTTCTCAGTTTTGCAATTATATTGATATGTTTCTTACCCTAGTGTATGTCTGTACTAGGCACTCAGTTCAAAACTATTGTTGAGTATGCTCCTTCACAGCGTGTTCCACAACACTGGTCCAAGAAGGATGGCCGTGAAGGAACCATCTTGAAAGGTACTAAATCAATGCGCTGATTGCATCTGACCTACTGCTATCTTTTCTAGTCCTCACTCATGGTTAAGTTGATGCCCTTGTAGATCCTGAATATCTGGAGTTCCTTGAATTTATCTCAAAACCTATTGAGAATCTTCCGAGTGCAGAAATACAGTTGGAAAGAAAGGAAGCTGAACGCGCGGGTTAGTTTGAATTTTTATCGAATGCATACGCTATCCTCCTGCATCAAACTGAGACTTAATCTATTAATGAGAGATGCAGGATAGCAAACTATGAAGGTGGATTGCATGTTCTCTGGACTTAAGTTTGACTGCTTCTTTGGTTTTTAGGTTCTGCAAAGGATGCTCCTATAGTTACTCCTTTGATGGATTACATACGTCAGAAAAGAGCCGCCAAGAGTGGAGCTCGGGTAGGTGATTTCGTTTTATGATACTTTAACTTGTTCGATTTTCAATTGAGGTTTCTTTCTCTCTCGTACCCCTTCCCTCCCTCTTAGTACATTCACCTCCCCCCCCCCCCCGCACACACACCACCACCACCACCCAAAAAAAAAATAGTTCCAGGATTTTTACGAGCAGACTGAATCTGTTGGCAATGAGCTTTTCCATTAACCATCTTTTACATTGGCCACACTTCTCAGGATTATAGTATACTCTCAGTTTTGTGTTTAACAAAAATGATGTATTTCTCATGATTTGGAGCATCTTTCTCCAAGTTTAAAAGATTAGTACTAAGTTTTATCCCTGGTCATTGACAGAAATCTATAGCTAATGGAAGACCAACCAGAAGAGCGAGTGGCACATCCGCAGGAAGTCCTAGCTCAAGTGCGTCTAAACGAAGCTCTGAAAAGAGACGGGCTTCCACTACCATGGTAAGGGTGTCATGTTACAATCCAACGTTTGTACAATTGGTACTCCTGGTTATAGATCTATTTATTTATCTATCTATAGTTGAGACTCTCTTTCGAAAGTGAGATACCGTTCATGCAATCATTCTGTGTTTGATCTTCTCTCGGTCACATCATCTGTGATCTATGTGCTTGTGAAAACAGTAATATCCTGATTTGACTTCTGTATCAGCTTTTCACTGTTGATTTTCCTTACCTCTGATAATTGGTTGGAGATATTCTTTTGATTGAATTATTCTTGGTATAGTATTAATATATATGTATGCATGTCTGTTTTTATATTTTTAACTACGATCTGGACAGTAACTTTTACTCTGGGGATATTTCTTTTGATGGATGTGGTTAGTGTCACTTCTCTTTTCTAGTCGCTTATGGAACTGTCTGATCGTGTACAGTATGTTCTTCGAGATAGTTCTAAGGCTGGGAGTGGCAAAGACAAAACATATATTCTAGCTCCAAAACGTGATGATCAGCAGCGTGCTGAGAAGTCTGGTACCTCTGCTCCTGGATCTGTGGCTAATGCAGTTGAAGAGGAAACTGGTATGCCTACACTTAAGTTGTCAGTTGTAATCACATGTTTGCATGCTTGTGTGTCTATTATCATCCCATGAGGGCAAGCCTTGGAGTAACAGAGAAGCGCTTGCGTTTCTACTGGCGACCGGGTTTCTAATTTTGGAGCCAACCTTTCCAATGGGTAGGTAAGGCTGTCTACGTTTCCCTTCCACCGAACCTTCATGGAGAGCCTTCTGGCACTCTAGGGTCTTCCATTTTTCTTACATGTTCTTCTTTAAGCAAGAAACAATCATAAATCGTAATCATATTGACATGGTTTTGGACTTTTTTGAGAATGACAAAGTAAAAATATATTAATTGTACCTCTACAGTGCGAGCACTAGATTTACATAATAGTACAAGAACTAAAAATTTGCATCATAGCATCTTCTTAATTGACAATAACATTACACCAAAAAAGACAGCAGCTCTAAACATGTGGTTATAAGCTATGTGTAGGCCCTTGCAATTTCAAAATTTCAACAGCTCTGTTCCTTTCTCTCAATACATACTGTGTGTGACTTTCAAATACTTTGGATATTCACGACTTTTCTCCCGTTCCAGCTTTGTATTGTCAATCTCAGTTTCTTTGGTATCATCACTTGATGGGCATCAAAAGATTTATGAACATACTTCAAATCTTAGTTGCTATAGGGTGATGAAGGAGAGGATTGGGGTTTGTCAGATCCTTTCGTAATACAATACTGACCTAATGTCATTCCTCTTTTGATCAAGTTATATTGGCTACGGTGATGCAAAAGGAAAATATTGGGGTTTGTCATCTCCCTTCACAATAAAACACCTGCCTTGTTATTCCGCTTTTGATCAAGTTATATTAACATTATTTTACCTTATCTAAAAGAATCCAAGTTATATTGAATTGACAAATTTTTCATACAAGGCAATCCAATCACACATGCAACTTTACATAGGCCTTTCGTTTTCCATAACATTACCAGGGCCTGCTAACAGTTCAAACAGCAAGCTGTAACTTTCTTGACACTTACACCAGTTAGCAATACTTGTTCCTTTTTATTCATTCATTCTGGGGGGGGAGGGGAGTATAGTCTGGTGGGAGTATCATCGGTCACATAACCTTTCTTGTAAGTTGTAACAAAAATTCTGTTGAATGCCTTTTGACCAGAGCAAACTCTAAAGAGTTTGTTACTGTTGTTTATAAAATGTGTTACAAGTCCCCCCCAAAAAAGTGGATGGAAGTTATTAAGGCCAGGTAGATTCTCTTTGTAATGGTGCATTTTCAGTTACTTAATGTGGACTTCTACCTTCGCTTTTGTTAGGCAATAAATGATGGGGGGTTTCAACAGCACTCTCATGTTGGCTGCATATGTTTTGACCTATCACACAAATAAAAAAGAAAAAAAGGTTCATTCATGTGTTCTTGAAGATACAACATTCCTTAATCCTGAGCAGACTAAGAAGTGCTTTTATTAGGTAGAACTTGGTCCAAGATAAAATCATGCTAGATGATACTTTTATTAGGTAGAACTTGGTCCAAGATAAAATTATGCTAGATGATACTTTTATTCTTTATTAAGGAAATTGAGCGATATGTTTAGGATGGTTCAAATGGAAAAGAAAATCTTAATTTGTTGAAGGCTGGAATGAATTTACCGTGTTTTCGCGGTGTATTTAAACATTGGAGCTTGTTATATTAAAATCTGATGATATTCTTGAAATTCATCTGCAGATGGTACTTTTGTAACAAAAAAGAAATAAAGAATTCCATTCTAGAGGGATGACTAGTGTAAATGAGACAATGATCTTCTGTCCACTTGACATGTCTCACAGAATTTAGATTGAAAGTAAGGAAGCTTTTTTGCTGGTCTATGTTTTGATGAGTAAAAGAGAATATCAACTCCATTAATGTGGTGAGAGAAAGTGGTTTTAGGGAAACTGGAAAGAACCCAAGAAGGCTGCTCTAGGAAACAACGAGAGGAAAATGGAAGGTCGGTAGGTGATAAGGGGGTGAGAGTTCTTAATCTACATCTTTCTGCTGCATTTTTTGGGTTAGGTAATAAGTAGATAGACACTTGAAAGTTGGCACTTACTGTCAAATAGACACCTTAACTATGTCAGTGTTTAGGTGCACCCCTATTCTTGGCAAAATTATCTCGTAATCTCACACTGACATGACAAAATGCATGTTTATGTTCAAATTTGAGCGTCTGAAAGTCCTTCAAAATCTATTTTATAAAAGATTGTATGGGCCCCACATTTTCACCCTTCGCACGCTCTTCCAGTTTTCCATTAACTATATGAGGCAAAGAACAAATATTTGCATAAAACTGAAAAGAACATTTGAAATCCATACATCGTTCTCTCTCCATAAAGCATAACATGAACTATTGATACCTAGTGCCAGTAACTAGTAAGTAATTTTGTTTAGCCAACAGTTAGAAATTAGACTTCTACCTGCCACTTCCTGGACTTTTCTCCTTTCTCATTATGAAGTCACAAGGTACTACTGTTACATATCTTTTGTCCGTTGCAACCTTTTGGGTTTATGATGGGGGCTCTATCAGTAATTTCCATCAATGTATGGTAACAACTAACAAGTGAGACAACAAAGTAAATTGAGGCAATCTCCTTATAAAAATGAAATAAAATGAGGCGCAATGTCTAAATGAGAGTGAAGTCCGTACTCCGTTGCAAGGAAAGCAGGCAGATTGACTTGGTGGCTTCAAAATGGGACTATGGCCTCAAAGTTGTCATCTGCCAGAAAGAAAGTTGGTTGCTGACAGTATGATAACATATTTTCTCATAGTAGAGCTCAAAAATCTCAATCTGAACTTCCACAAAGTCTTGCTGTCAGATCTTCTGATGACCCTCAAATGGTGAATGCCTCGAAGTTAGACTTAACAATGGTACTATTTTGAGTTTGTTTGTTATGAAAAATGAACTAACGTGGAAGATGGCACAAGAGGAAAGGGGTCCTGGGAGGTGGTCGGATTCCAAGTGTTCTGAAGGTGTATTTATTGTTTACTAATATGGAAGGAAAGCAGGCAGATTGACTTGGTGGCTTCAAAATGGGACTATGGCCTCAAAGTTGTCATCTGCCAGAAAGAAAGTTGGTTGCTGACAGTATGATAACATATTTTCTCATAGTAGAGCTCAAAAATCTCAATCTGAACTTCCACAAAGTCTTGCTGTCAGATCTTCTGATGACCCTCAAATGGTGAATGCCTCGAAGTTAGACTTAACAATGGTACTATTTTGAGTTTGTTTGTTATGAAAAATGAACTAACGTGGAAGATGGCACAAGAGGAAAGGGGTCCTGGGAGGTGGTCGGATTCCAAGTGTTCTGAAGGTGTATTTATTGTTTACTAATATGGAAAGGCTTAAATTTTTAAAAATAAAATGGGGGTGAGGGCTGATCCTAACCATTTTTCTTTCTAATGAGGTGACTTTTACTTAATGACCCTGTCAATTTTTCATATGTCATTTGATGTGTCATTGGCGATTGTATTTCTCACATGAAAGATCTAATGGATTAATGGGTTTCCGAGACACTTTTTCCAAGAAAAGGTGTCTATTTGGTCATTTGCAAAGTTAAGTTGTCTATCTGATAGTTTCTGTCAACTTTATGTGTCAATCTATGTCCTTGGCTTAATTTTATTAATAATGCTATAACCTCCCATTCACAAGTAACATACCAAAAAGTAGAGAAGCTACAACATAATATGATTCTCTAATAACAGTTGCCTGTGTTGAGTGATGACTTGAAACCTGAAATGATCCTCCCTCATTTGGATTTTTTTTCTTGTTGTGTTATATTCTTTATCTTTATTGTTATTAAGCTTATGAACGATAACAATCTTTTACATTTTAATTTATGATGTTGATTGAATATTCACACATTTAGCAGTTTCAATTTTTTTTTTTAATGATATTGATCGATCAGCATGTGCTCTAAAAACTGTCTAAGGGGGATGGGTAGTTGTTCATTTAATTGAGTTACCAAATTTAGATGTGTACTATCAGGGTCTATTTTTTTTATCTATTATACTAGATCTGGCTCTGAAGATTGTCTAATTTAGTGGCTTCTAGCTTTTGATCGAAGAACTTTTTATTGTGCCTTACTTTTTGAGTGTTCAAAATTTTAGATTGTTGACCTCCTTTCCTTCCCATTCGTGACATTTATTTTTGTACGTTGTTTATAATTGTCTAAGATCCTCTATATTTGTTTTAGGTGGAGCTGCCGATGTTGGGAAGAAGAAAATCCTGCTCTTGAAGGAAAAGGAAAAAGAAAATCCTAATGTAAGCTTTACCATCTCAGACATTAGTTTTTTGGTTACAAGCTAATATATGTTTGGTTATAATTCCTTTTTGGGGGAAAGGGGTGGGGTGCCATGCTGAAAATGAAATTAGCTCCTGTGCACCTTTCATAATCTCTGGAAGTGAGAGACATATAGGTGAAGATCATTGTTGCTAATCTCTTTTAGTTAACCAGTCCAGATCATCCCTCATATTCTTGACTCCAAACTTCAGACAGATGTTATCAGGATCAGTGGAAACATTTTTGTGCATATAAATTGGTCCATCAAACCCTTTTAGGTGATTTATACTCTGTAAGGCTGTTTTTGGTAAATAAAAAACTTGTTTGCCGTTCGACACGATTGTATGATAATTTAAGGTTGTAATGCATGTGACAGAATAATCTTGCTTACCTTGACAAAGAAAGGGCGGCCTTGACCCCCTCCTCCCCCCCAAAAAAAACACCTGTGTCTTCCTACTTTGTGCTAATATTATATTGTCTATTGAGCAGTCACAAAGTTCTGTCATTTCATCTGTTTTCTGATGTAGAGGGGAGTCCCTTGTGTAGATAGTTGGCTTATTTCATTTGATGCGTAACGATAATTTGTATCCACCACTTAAATATATTTAACACCAACTCGGTCTTAATCAATAATATTGATTTATTCTTCTTGAAAACTGTATCCTGGGAGATTATTTTTAGTTTATATGTCTGGAACTTCATACATGCCAGAGCTCGAGTCTGCTGTATTTTTGGTGTAGTGGATTTTTTAGCTCAATTATAAAGTTTTTGCCTAGTTTTGGCTTTTGAAGTTACCCCCCAAGTGCTGTAAATCCCACGTCATCAGGTTTTACTGATGAGTTTGATGTGATTATAAAGTTGCCTTTATCAAAAAAAACTTTATGCTTGCCAGACTTCTCTTTCGTACATAGGTTTCTAGTGGTTCATCGATTCAGGACAATGTTGCACTTATTGTTACAATAATTTCATCTGCTCTGAAACAGAACCAGCGTCGTGAGGCAAGTGGAAGAATCATTAGAAGTATTCTTCTCAAGGATGCTCGTCAAAATCAGGCCCCATCTGCATCCCAACAAGAAAAACACAGGGTGGATAAGGACAAAAAGCCTCCTAGGCCACCAAGTGTCCAGTTGTTTCAGAGAGAAACTAATGGAGCTAATGAAGATAGGGTTCTTGGAGCTGATTTGCATGTTGTCCACACTGAGAAACAGGAAAAACGCACTAGGATCAGGGATAGGCCGGATCGTGGTGTTTGGACTCCTCTTCGTCGTTCTGATAGTTTACATGCTAGTGATGAATCTTTATCTTCATCTGCCTCTCAATCTTCCGAAGTGCCAGATTTTGTTGAAGGTTTGTTCAGTAGTATCAGTCATGTTTAGTTTGTTTTGACCTTCCCGCCAGATGGTAGATCTTGGTTGAAAGAGGACTTTTCTGCTTTTTATTCTCTCATCTCTCATTTGTATCAGGATAGGTAAGAGTACATTTGTCATTTCTTAAATCCCTTAATTAAGAGTGTTACTATCCTCTAAAAAAACTCTTTATTAAAATTGACACGTAATCATGTTTGTTAAGGATTAGAGTTCGCTAAGTTTTCTATTCCCTGATTTTTTCTTTTGGAGAAACCTTTCTATTTTTTTTCTTTTTCTTTAGGAAGTCCAGGTGAAACCAAACATGGTCTGGTAAATGCTCGTGTTGCGGAGTTCAGACCCATGGGAAGTGGACGTAATTCTCATTCTTCTTTTGATAATGGTTAGTTTTGTTTATGGTTCATGGAATTTTGTGATTCTTTGCTATATGTGAATGATATGCTCAATAGTCTTTTCCCTCTTTTCATCAGTGGGACCTGTTTGATCACTTTTGCATTATTCGATGGATCTAGGTACTTATAAACATGGTGGTCGTCGTGGTATGAGGGACGATGGAATTTCAGTAGGGGAAGGAAAGCCCTTAAGAAGGGGAGGTCCTTCTAGCTATAATACCCATGAGGTATGCCTTTTGTTTTACAATGTTCCATAATTTAGTGTATGCAGTTGTGTTTTCCTTTTGTGTATTTACTGATTTGCTCACATGTGGGTTATATGATTTTAATGCAGAAACAAGTGTGGGTCCAAAAGTCAAGTTCTGGTACTTAGTTATTTCTCTAACGGTAAGTTTTAAATTGGCTGTTCGTTTCTCTCTTCAAGAAGTTTGATTTTCATTTTCTTGATGTTGCACAAGAATGCTTGATAGATGAAAATATGCATCCAAAAATTGCTTAACAGAAATAACTGATTGGCATCAAAGTGTTGTGTATTGCCACAGCAGTCATTTGAATGTTGTGGTGTCACAAGGATATACTTTATTATCTACGTATTTTGGTTTTGCCTAAAAGTCTGGCCTATATCTTTTGTGTGAGTGCGTGCGCAATCTAGTAGGCTAATCGATTCAGAGCACTGTGGACTCTTGAGTGATTACTATTCATTTTTTTAATGGCGTTAAGAAGGGCAATGAACTCGGGGTATTTTAAAAAACATCCATGTGAAAGTTTTAATTAAGAAATTAACTTATGGAACTCTTCTCTCTGTGTGGAGTCTTCAACTGTGTAATCTGTTTTTTTCTGCAGCGAAATACTTGGTTTTTACCATATAAGGTGCATGTCTAGTGGCTGGAGCTCTCTTTGTTGACACATCATGTATGAGCAAAGTTGATGGAGCAAAGATAAGGATTTGAAGGCCTTGATGGAATTTTTGACTTGCCAGGGTGATCTAAAAACTGGTATATACTGCTAAAGTAGCATTGAACTTACTAAATCTAAGATGGTTGGAGTAGGAGCAAGAAGGAAGAAAGTCGTGTCAGTGACATATATACACCACAATTTTCAGCTGGTGTACCTTATGGGATCTTTTTGTCGGAGCTGTGGGTATCCTTGTTCCTGTGATCGGCTCATTATCAAATAATATAGTTCTATAGATGGAAGATTTCCTTTGTTAAAACTGTAAATACAAATGTGGAATTGTGTGAAGAGTGCGCCCATTAATCCTACACATATGCTGATTACACCATGTTAGTTCTAATCTTGACTGATTGAAGATTGTCAAAGAAGGAAAGCTTGGAGTATGCTCTGCCATCTTTGTGGAGGCTTATTATAGTCGCGTCTAAGCAGGTGGTATTGCCAAGGCATTGAACAGATGGATTCACTTGTTTTTTTTTGGTCTGGATTTTGGGGTATGCTTGTGTAAAGTGTGTTTGCTGAAATGAAAGAGCATCTTGATCTGTCTGTCTAAAAAGAGTTGGTTCAGTTTATGTGTATACGGTTGTAGATTAATTTTTGTTGTACTTTTCTGGGGTACTTTCCTCTTGTTTGTTTCGTCTCCTGGTGAAAAAAGCACCTTATTTTTTTGTTAAAAAAAATGCAACTTGCTACACCCAGTGAAGATGCAAAAGAGAAAAAAAGATGTGCTTGATACACTTTGGCTTGGCTCCCTCTTGCTCTGGTCTACACTCCCCTTGTGAGTCGCCACCCTTCGACTAGCTTAAAACATTTGCTGCCTCAATGGCTACATGTTAACCACTAGGGTTATATTCTCCAATTGATTTTAAGGTAAATTTCTCAAGTTTTGCTTTTTCCTTGAATTGTAGAGCACTTATTGTTGAATGATCTTTTGGTGTGTGCTCAGAACTTGAAAAAGATGGAAAAGTGAAGGATTTAGGATCACCACCCTCTAGTAGGCCATAAGATTTGGTATATGCTTTTTTTTGCCTTCACTTTTTTAGTTTTGATGGTTGTTGAAAAGCTTCTTCTTTGGCCGCATGCATCTTAGCTTGGACCACTGCTTTTCTTTCTTTCACATAAATTGGCTATTATTTCTTAGCAAGGGAATAGGCATAGGACCCCATCAAGGGGTGTGATTAGTTGATTGATCATCTAAATGAAGTCCTCTTTTAATTAATAGGCCAATAATTCCTAATACCAATGATTACACAAAAAAAAGAAGTTACAGGTCAATTGACATGTTATCTAGTCCCTCCTAGGTGGTCCTTCATTTAAAAGGGACCAGTCTATGTTATGTTTTTTTTTTTTTGGTTGAAAGAAATTACGCGCATAAAAGTTTATATATACACTCAACCTTTTTCTATTCACATTCACATTATAATTATGCATGTATTCAAAAGTATAATATTTTATATGAGAGAAATTATTTTTCTAAAATGAAAATGTTCAACCACATGTAGGGTAAAGATGATTTAGAGGAATCACTAAATTATTGTACGAAAAATTCCAAATTAGAATTGTATACTGACCCTTCAAGAAGAAATATTCAAACTCGTGCTTTCTTAATATCATTTTCTATCGCAATCTTTCTAATCAAATGCATTACCTTCCATCCACCTATTGGCTCCAAACTATCCTTCCCACCCACCTATTGGCTCCAAAATACCCTTGTCATCCACATTTGTGTTCAAAATTGATCACTTTTTTAATTGTTTTAAAATTAAACTCTTTAAATATTTTTTAAAATACTTGACGTTCAATTATTAATTATAATTATAATTTATTAATATAATTTATAAACAAAACCATAACACACTCATTACTAACTAAACCTCACCCAATTAATAATCCAATTATAATATCAAAATTGACAAATTGTCATACACACTACTAAAACACGATGAAATTATAGATTTCTGAAAATGACATTCAAAATTATTCGAGTCCGAATCGGAGCCCCAATTAAATTTAGGTTGAGCCGCTTATTTAGGAGGACGCTTTCTTTCAAAATAGAATTAGAAATTTATGATTAAAAGGTAAAGAAGTAATGCATACCGATTGATTCATTCACCTTTTTTAAATATAATTTTATAAATATTTATGATTTGTTTTAAAACTTTAATATATTATTTTGAAAAAAAGTTATCTATAAAGTAACATTACATAATTGAGACGTAAGAATAATTAAGATAAACATAGTCAGACTTTTAAGTTTATTGGTGATTTTTATTTAGCCAGTTGAATGTATGATAATTTATTTCTATAATTTTTAAAAACACTCAATTGGCAGTAGTTTGCATTAATAATGTGACGGGTTCATTAATTTAGAGGGATTTAATTATTAATGGGGTGGGTAGTGGATTGATTTATAAATTATACTAATAAGTTAAATTATAACATATAGTTGAGCACCACGTTCTTTAAAAAATATTTAAATAGTTTAAATATAAAACCGTTAAATAAGTGATCAATTTTGAACCAAAAGGTGGATGAAAAAGGGTATTTTGGACCCAATAGGTGGGTGGGAAAGGTATTTTGGAGCAATAGGTGAATGGAAGATAATTTTATACAATTTTCAATACTTTAAAGATTTTTAAGCCTTTTTCCGTAATTATAATTGCTATCACTACTGTTTTGTAAGCAGCAAACTAATAATGAAACCTCGAGAAATAACTAAAACTCATTTACTGTGCTAGTACCCTAGGTATGTGGACTATGGTGGCTTTACTTTTTTGAAAGTAGAGAAAGAATAGTACTCCCCAAAAAAAATATATTTAAAAAGTCAACAATGTGGGATGGTCCATGTTTACTTTTTTATCTTTTGTTTCCCCCCTCTGCATCATAGAATTAGTCCAATATTTCGTACTCCAATATTTATTTAAAATGTATATAAATATTTTTTAAAATTATAATTTTTACTTATCTTATAAATATACGAAGAAAATAAGAATTTTTTATTATTTATAATAGCCCGAACTAGTAAATTAAGTATATAATGAATATACGAATAAAAAATAAAAAATAATTGATAAGATTAAATTAGAAATTAAGTGATAAATTATTTTTTATATTTTAAATAGATATTTTAGCATAGTAGACAAATAAAAAGTGGAGGGAAGGAATACTTCTTTTATTTTATATTACTTGCCCCTGTTCGATTGGATACATTCCTTAATAAAATTTTAATTATATATTTATTTTACTAAACTGCCATTATAATGGTATTTTGAGAAACTTTAAGAGATCGCTTGGCCATAGATTTCTCAAATAATATTTGAGAGAAAATTTGATAAATAGTGTTTGTTCATACACTTTGCTATTACTTGGCAAATATTTTTAGCAAATATCTCAAATTTTTAAATATTAATTTTTTCTAATATTTGGATCAAATCTTATTATTTGGGATTTTTAAAAAGTAGAAAGTTTAACCCGAACTTTTATCTTTTTTACAAAAATACTCTCTATAGTTATTGCTTCCGTTGTATTACATAATTTTTTACGTTAATTTCAAAGTAGTGATAAATATTCGGTGAATGTGAAATGATAATATGATTATTGATGAAAATGATGAAGAATCGGCTCAAAATAATAAAGTCATGTGTTTTGTTTACTTCACGATGTATGAAATGATGCTTGTTGCACTCACTGCAAATTACCACATTGCTCTATTGTCATGGACACTATTTGTTATTGTTGTAACAAAGATCTAATTGACTTGTAATACAAATCAATGATTAGTTTTGATATTTTCAAAATTTATGTGTATAAACCATATTTTTCTATAAAATTGAAATATATTTTCCAAATACTATGATCAAATACATGGTAAAATTTCGAATAATATTTGTCAAGAATATTTAAAAATTTATGATCAAACGCTAGTTAGATTTGTTACTATAATTCTACTACTATATGTAGTTATTTAATTATAAAGATAGAATTAAAAAATTTTAATTCACTAAACTGAACAAGTAATATGAATTGTTTTATTTTGAATTATTTAATTTGACAAATTAATACACCTAACTTGCTTCTTGCAAGTTATATTTATCGTTTATCGCTATAGGTTGTCGATAATGCAAACTATGGGACCAAAATGATGACACGTGTCTTTATCACGTGAGAGGTCCTGTCTTAATCCAACGATTAAGTGGGGTCACGTGGTTTAAATAATTAACAACATTTTCATTTGGCCACCAACAAAGAATATAAATGTCTGCATCATTTTTATTATTCTAAAACTTATAAAACCACTTGCTTCACACCCTTATCTGTTTGCCTCTAAATATTAAAAATAAAATAAAAATTGTAATTGATACTTCCAAGTTTCAACTTTAGACTTTGGGATCTTAACATTTCTTTTAAGAAATAACTTTTTCGCCCCTAATGAAGTAATAAATATTTTTTTATTTTTAGTTAAAAATTTTGATTTCAAGTATATACGCTCTTTTCGTTTGTTAACATTAAGGGAATAAACAGTCCGTTTGTATTAATTAGTGAAGAAGATATTTAAAGGTAAGTTAGAAATGTATTTTGACTTTGATTTTATATGAATCATGTTTTAATAAAATAATACATGGAATCATTTCATTTATTCAAAGTTAAAACAACTTTTTATATAAAAAGAAAACTTGGATCACCCCTTTGGAGTTATATGATTGTTTGGTTTTCCTTGGTTGCTTCTATTAGCATTTATGGATATCCATTTTACATTAATTCTCAATTCCAACCTTGGATGTATGACTGTGACATGGGGCTTCATCAGTTATATATTTAAGTTGTGGAATTAAATATTCATGTTTGTATTCACATGTGATTTATATCAGAACTTTTTAAAATTACAATTCTCTTTTGAATGTTTAATCATAAATTTGAGTCGTGAAATTAAACGCTTATATTTGTATTAGGATAAATTATTTATATCATAACTTTTAAAGTTATAAATTTTTTGAACACTACGTGAATATGAAATGCTTGATACACTGAATTATCATTTATTTTATTTTTTTCTTCTAGTAAATACTTTTGACTATGATAATAACAAAAGTTTCATAAGAACTCTGGTTATTAAATAAAATCAATGGAGTAATTTTAATGAAAACTTACTTTAATAAGAATTGACAAATATTTGGATTTTTTTAATTGGAGGGGGAGGTGAAAGGGAAAGAAAATGACTTTTGAAGCATTATTGGACCTATCTGTTCAAGGTATGATAATGCTCAATCCTACAAAAGAATGAGATTACATCTAATGATTTGAATTATGGATTCTTCATTAAGTTTAATCTCACAACTGTAAAATAAAAATTACTATTTATTCTCCTTTAATTTATTTTAAATACGTAGAAATTTACTTTCAAAATTGAATTTATCGTGTAGAGATTTAAAAATTTACATCTCTTAACTTTTTTCAAAACACCTCTCCATCTTATCCATTTGTTTCTTTATGACTCAAACTAAGAAACTTCGATGAAAACATAAAGAGGTGTTTGCCATTCAAGTAATTCCTTGTCAATTATCACATTTCAAACATCTCAAATACCAAATAAACTATTACTAAGGTCTTTGCTTTTGCTCAATAGGTGTTTGAATTTAAATCTCGTGTATTATGACTTATCAAGTTTCGAAAACGAACCTAGATTAATTTTAGAGAAATATCACTTTCGCTTATAATTTTTTTTTCATTTTCCAAGCAAAATATATGTGCAAATACAACTATTTTCAACCCAATTTTAGTATTTTTTGTTCTTTTAAAGTTTCAATTAAACCTTTGGGTATAATAAGGGATAAAAGACAAATATATTCCAAACTATTGTAAATAGTATGCAATTGCCTCTCGTCATATTTTAGGGACATTAGTGTCTCTATCGTTAAAAATCTAGAGCATATATATTCTTTATGTTAGCGGACATACACGTGTCATAATTTTATTCACCGACAACATTGAATGGATGGATAAGATAGCGTCACGTGTCCTGTTTAGTCTTATATTAGACTGAAGGGTATATATATTCTAGTTTTTAGACGGTAGGAGCACAATATCTCTAAAGTATGACTGTATATAGTTTACGATAGTTCGATGATATATTTATCATTTTTTAATGAGAAATAAGAAAAAGAATAAATTGATTGGGTGATTGGAACCACCATTAGTGGGTGTGAAAGCAGCATAATATCTCTCTTATGAGAGATAACGTTCGAAGAAAAAGGGTCATCTTATACTCATTACACTTGTCAGAGAAGACTGTCACTCTCTAAAACACACTCTCTCTCTCTCTCTTCACACTTCTCGCATTTTAGAAAGAACCAAACGACGAAACCAGAAGAAATTATTCAAAAATTAACTCGTCTGCGTTTGATCTGACTCTTCAACTGACTTTTTCTATTCAATTTCTACAATTTGAATATGCATTTTGTGGTGTAAATTGATTGAAAATCTCTATTTGCTGGAATCGTTGAAGAAGAAATGCTTCGATACTGCTTTGTATTCATCGAGGTTAGTTTTTGTTATTACAATATATGGTTTTTGCTCTTAGACGATCGTTTCGTAACGGACGCGGATTTATACTTAATTTTCTTTCCGTTACTTGTAATTCGTCGGATTATGCGTTGAAAATCTTGTGTAATTTCACGTTTTATCATCACTGTGTGTATGAAGGAGTTGATCTAGTGTAAACTGCAATCTATTGGAGAGAAATTAGTCGTGAAGATGGAAGTTTGAAATCTATGTTCATATTCTTAAGCAATATATCAAATAAGAAAGGTTCATATTTTGAGCAGCTCAGTTTGTCATGGTGAGTTAATGAATAGTGGTCAGAGAGGTTCCGCACTGATTAGGAAGGGTTAAGTATGTTACGAGAGAGCTGTTTTTGCTAAAATAATTGGGCAATTGCGGTCACTTATGCTAAAATGCTTTCTTCACTCTCATTTCATCTAATAAAGGACTATTCATATTGGATATAGATCTGTTTATTTTACTTTCGGCCGAAGTATATCTGGTTATATAGTGAATACCTGGACTTGAATTAAATGGAAAAAATAATGATAACCACATGACTTAGTTTGGCTTTGAGGTGTAGTGATTGATTGATATATAGTTCTTTTATAATAAAATGAGAAGTACTTGTGTTTCTGCTGATGTTTGACTTCCATATTTGCATTGTCTTCTCAATCGAATTTCTATGCAAAACAGAAATTTGTTATTTATCAGGAATATTTGATCGTATTTTGCCCTTTCTCTTAGGTACTAACCTGTTGAATCTTTGCCTAAGTCCCTAGCTGTGAAACGTATGTGTTGACTTCATGAGAACTTAGTCAGATGGTTCATTGGACATGGTGTGTACTCGGTTTTTCGGTTTTTCTTTGTCAACAATTGACTGGGCTATAGCTAAACCTGCCCTTTGCCTAAAGATGTGGTGCCACAAGATATTCAATTTGAGTGTACCTTCTCCTTGGGGCATGTTGACAATCTTGTGCCTGAGAACTATCTGGTGTAGGAGTAATCTATCGAGCTAAATGCTTGGTTGAGTACTCTGTCGCGCCTAGTAGAATAAACTTCCTTGTACTTATGTGTTTACAAGTGCCATTGAGGTGTGGCCGAAGAAACTGGTTCGTTTCTTGATGTTTGAACTTATAGAACCTGGCATACAGCGATAAGAACCATAAGCACTCTATATTTAAGACTAACATAATGAGGTTCTTTGACTCTTTCATTCAGCACCCTGATTGATGGTTCATTCCGACCCCCCCACTCCCAAGTAAATCTGGAATATAAATGCCATGCAGTAAATGTGGCATTTATTGGCTGGTTTTGTACATTTCCCTTTTATCTGGTCTTCTCAATTTGGTTAATGCTCAATGAATCAATATTTTTATTACTGTGTTTCGCTTCCTATTTGCAGCATTTTTGTTTATCTCATACCAACTATCTGATTTTGCTTAATTATAGTCAGAATTTCTCTTCAACTATACTGAGTTAAGGACCTTGTCATCAAACTAGATAGACAGGAACATCCACGGAATGGAGGGCTGCACCAGAAGGAATTATGCAGAGAGGTGCAGAGATTAGTGTCTGTGACTTCTGCAAGGTTCATTTATGGCGTCCACTGGCCTTGGCCACGGAGGAGCAGGCAGTTCTAGAAGTGCGAATGGATTCAAGAGTTCATCTAGTTCAGTTGACTGGTTGGGAAGAGAGATGTTTGAGATGAGGTTGAGAGACAGGGCGGACCATGATGATGATGGGGTGAGCTTCTAAATTTTCACTATACCAATTAGTCAATGTTGCATAGTTAACCTTATCACTTGTGGTCTTAGTTACAGCAATTACTAGTTTTTCTGATAAGCTGAACATACCATGTTACGTGTTTCCTGGAGTTCGTTGCTAATGCTTCAGTATCCACTCTAGGGTCCTTCGATAGACATATTGGTCCTATGTAATTCAAATCCGCTGGCTTAAATACCCCGCCCCTTCTTGGACATAGACAGGATTTGAATTTCTTACTTAAATCAGTTCATATCAACCTCTATGTTGTATTCATTCAAATGAACTTGATAACGAGTCATATGAAAGTTGAAAACCTTGACTTAGTGTTGAATCCTTGCAAATCCATATCTCTCCCACCCTATGAACCTATCAACGAAGATATATTACAAAGATTTTTCCTGTTCGATGCCATAGAAGCATGATTAGTTATTAACATGGTAACTGTAAGTACACACATCTTAATGATAATTATGGCCTTAAGTTAATATTCCTAAGGAGTTCTCTATTGTTATCACTGTATGACTTATTCATTCTATAACTGAATTTTTCTTGCTTTCTTCCCTTCATTGTTAGATTCAACAAGTAAATTTGCTTCTTTTTTGTTTTTGCTTATAGTGCTCTGGTATACATATATGTTAAATTTGTGTCTCTCAAGAATACTTCTCCCGCTCAGCTTATTGGAGCCTTACAGCTTCGATGATCATTTATCTGAAAACATCATTCTTCCTATCTTTTGGTGTAATATCATGCAGGACAGTGAACCAGATATAATTGATGGTGTGGGTGCAGAAACAGGGCATGTTATTAGAACCAGTATTGGTGGTCGAAATGGTCAACCTAAGCAGGTTCTAATTAGTTATGAGAAGTATTACTTATCATGTGTTTGGGATGAAAAATGACTATTTTTATTTGGATTCACAGAATGTAAGTTACATAGCAGAACATGTGGTTGGAACTGGTTCTTTTGGTGTGGTTTTCCAAGTAAGAACTGCTATAATTTCTGCTATCTTTGTATCTTTAAGTATGTAGATATATGAGCGTGTGTGTCAATTATTATTGGATTATCTACTTCTGTTTTTCTTTACAGTGTTCTATATTATTGTGATATAAATTTTCTATTGTCACAGGCGAAATGTAGAGAGACTGGAGAGATTGTGGCAATTAAGAAGGTTCTTCAAGATAAACGTTACAAGAACAGAGAACTGCAGATTATGCAAATGTTGGATCATCCTAATATTGTTGCTCTTAAACACTCTTTCTTCTCAACTACAGACAAGGAGGAAGTATACCTCAACCTTGTCCTTGAATTTGTTCCAGAATCTGTCAATCGTATTGCGAGACAATACAGCAGAATGAACCAGAGGATGCCATTGATATATGTCAAACTCTATACCTATCAGGCATGTGGCATTTTCTGGTGGTTTTAAACTTTTAATTATACTCTAGCTTAAAATATCTTGAATTATTCTATTAGAAAATACCATTATTTACTTGCAGAAGTTTCAAACTTTTAATGCTGGACCAGTTATTGATTTGAGGCCATGTAATGTCTCACTTACAACAGGTTTTTCCGTTGTTTGTCTCAGATATGCAGAGCACTGGCTTATATTCATAACTGTATTGGCATCTGTCACCGTGATATTAAGCCTCAGAATTTGCTGGTTAGGTGTTTCTTTTATGATAGTGAATTTCTGCTCTTTTGACTATATACTTTGTTAATTTTTACTTTTTCTTGTTCTGGACCTCATTCTTTGGTTATTCTTTCTGGATAAAAGGTCCTCTAATCGTATTAGATGAGTTGGTGTGTTTTTCTTTTCTTTTCTGGATGAGTATGATAAGCTGAACACTTTTTGTGCACGTGCTAATTTGTAGCTTAATAATCTAGCTGGATCAACTGTACCTTTTTGTTTGCATAATAGACTTTGATATGTTTCTGTATTGTATATTTTAAGGTTAACTGAGTGAAAAAAATTCCATACTTTATCTCATAGAAAACGCGATTCTTCATTAAAAACTCTCACACAGAAAGCAATAAAGAATCACAGATTGTCCTATTTAATGAAGAGTTAAACTCTACAGCAAAAAGTAGGAAATGAATTGAAAAGAGGAACATCTGACCGTTTTGTATAAATGCTTACAAATTGTATATTTAGGGTCTTATGATGTGTGTATAATGATATGTTATTCCCGGTAAAATACTCCAATTTTGGATAAACTCTTAAGGTCATTACGAGTGAAGTGGTAAAGGGCATTGAAAAGTTCTTTAACATGCTATTATTTGTTAGACAAGCCACTGAGTAGACTCTAGAGTCCAAGTAACTTAGTATCTAGCAGATAAGAAGACAAATCTTTTTAAGTTGAACTGTCTAAGAGGATATCATTTACACCTTTTAGAAAGAGAGATGCAATACTATAATCTTATGGCAGAATCCATGATGATATCAGCTTATTTTTGGGAAGTGTTATGGCACTGCTATATTGATGGTGTCTTCTGATTATCACCGTGATTTTTTCTCACTAAACTGAATTACTGTTTAATACTTAGGTAAATCCACACACACATCAGCTGAAGCTTTGTGATTTTGGAAGTGCAAAAGTTTTGGTAATTTTTCTCTGCAAAGACCACTTTGAATTTAAGAATTGCACTTGCTACAGTTTTCCAACCGAATTCTTTAACCACTGTTTAGGTGAAAGGTGAACCCAATGTGTCATATATCTGTTCGAGATATTATCGTGCCCCTGAACTCATATTTGGTGCCACCGAATACACAACAGCTATTGATATTTGGTCTACAGGTTGTGTGATGGCTGAGTTACTTCTTGGACAGGTAAGTTCCTGTCTTACTATTTTTGTGCTATTCTTAATCATATGTTGTATTCTTTATTCTAATACTTCTAACAATTCTGTTTAACAGCCATTGTTTCCTGGAGAGAGTGGGGTTGATCAATTAGTAGAGATTATAAAGGTGAATTTTAGAAAATTTTCTATTATTGATATTATCTTCTCAAAAGATACTTTGCTGATTTTCTTACCTTTACAATTCAGTTGGACCTTTGTTGCCTCAGTAAACAAGAGAAAATGTCTCCTTTCGGGAACATCCAATTGTAAAAAAAAATTAGACTTAAACATTATGGCTTAAAAGTTCAAACAGTATGATCATAGACAAATTATCTATGTGATGTTAATACCTAATGTTATATGAAAAATATTCAACTTTCTTAGTTCAATGGGCAACAAATCAGAGAAAGCAAAAATATTAGATCCTGCATTTGTTGAAGTTTGTGCAACTTGCACTCGTTCGTTTTGACCTATATTGGATATCTTTTGTTCTATTTGTACCAATTAAAATATATTTTGTTCGATACTAGATATCTCTCCTTGAGTCAATGAAGTTTCTCTCATCCACTTTTTTTACTTTTGAAAGGCCCAACCAGTTTTAGGGGTTCTTGTTGATGAACACATTAATTCATGTCTCTGGTGCTGTCATACACTTTAAAGTGTTTTTATGCTCCACCCGGAAGAGAATTGGAGTGGGGTGGTGGGGGGTTGAGTCCTCTTTGTATATACCTTGAGACTAAGTTTTTGAGGACTTTTGGTTGTAATGTATCTATACATGTTGACAGAAAAAGATGGATTGTTATCTGTCAGCCTACTTTTGTCAGTATTTGCTATGGACCATCTTCCTCAATAATAAGTCAACTTTCCTATTCTACTTCAAATTTTATGCAGGTTTTGGGGACACCTACTAGAGAGGAGATAAAATGTATGAATCCAAACTACACTGAGTTTAAATTTCCACAGATAAAGCCACACCCATGGCATAAGGTATGCTGTGTAACGTAAAGCTGAAATTCAATATATAAATGTTGATTATTGGTGCTCATTAAATCATGCTTATGTGCTCTTCGTCATTCCATCACTTCGACTTTTTGATGAAAATGGGTTATGATCGTAGCTTTTATTTTATTCTTCCCTGTACTGAAAGTCAGATTTAGGTAACTAGAAAATACTGGCTACTTGATTTGATTCATTTTTTCCTGACATCAGTTATGAAGGATGACATTAGAAGTACAGATGTTAATTACTTTAAGTTGGTAAAGGACAGGTTTGGAAGTTGCTTCTTTCTGCTTTACAACTTAAAAGTTCAAAGGTGGATAAAGTACTTGCGCCCAAAAAAAGGAGCAAGATATATTAAAAACATAAGTATGGGTGGAAGTGTATGTCTAAATAAATCTGATAACTTAATTTCCCTTTAGGTTGTATTTGCCTCATTTTATTGCTTTATTGAATCTGGGCTGATGATCTATAGGCAAGAGTCGGTGGTATAAAATTCTTCAAGCGTGCCCCTCTCTCTTGCTGACTACGATAGTAAATGACATTTAGAAATTTCTAAAAGCTAGTGGAGAACTGGCTCTTTGGAGAAAAAAAGTAGGACTGGTGGGTGACTTTTTTACTCACCCCCTTCCATGGTGTGGAAAGATGGGACCCTGGAAATCAGGAATTAAGAATGAGAGCAGTCTCTGTCAAAAATCGGAGCCTGTTGGCAAAAGATAAACATCTTGCGCTTGGATCCAGAATATATGATAGGGTGGTGGTATATTGGTGCTCCTCCCTAATATGATGCTTGAAAATCATAGTATACCATCTAAGACATTAACATTCTTCCCAGTGGTTCACATGTGTCTGATGGTAAGACATTGTAAGATCCAAATTATACAGAACAAAATGTGAGTAGAAATTTAAGTCTGGACAAACAGAGAAGAATACCAAATTGGAAATATTCTTAGAAGAGTTTTACAATGAGCCTTAATTTCATCATGTCTTACATATATAAATACTTCTATTCGAGGCTGTTTGAGATGCTTTCAAGCCTGGAAGAGCCTTTGTGCCTCAGAATGTACACCGTGTCATATTGGTTAAAAAAAGTATAAACACCATGTCATTGCCAGCTGTAGTACTTGAGTTAAGAAGCATTTCGTGTGATGCACCTAGAAACTTTTGCTATCAACTAGTCCAGTGAATGGGATCATTCTCATTTATTTTCTTTTATGCCATATATTCTGATAAATTGTGCTTTTTTCCTGATTGTTTTCCGTCATATACAGAGAGTTCATATTTCTCAGTCGTCGTTTCCCTTCCGTAAGTTATTTCCTTTATACAAGTCTAACTATATCTCATGATGCATCTTGCAGGTTTTTCAGAAGCGATTGCCTCCAGAAGCAGTTGACCTGATTTGTCGATTTTTCCAGTATTCACCTTATTTGAGATGCACTGCTGTAAGTCTACATTCATTCTAAATTAATTCAATCTCATCGTCTTAAGGTTTGGCTGTAGTTGCCTATTGATTTCTGCTTTGATCGTGCAGTTAGAGGCCTGTATTCATCCATTCTTTGATGAATTGAGGGATCCTAATACTCGTCTTCCCAATGGTCGTCCTCTTCCACCACTTTACAATTTCAAGCCCCAAGGTAACGTACACCAATAATGTTTTTTCTTTTTTTTTAAATTAAAGGATTAGTAATGTTGTATTATTCAGCATTTGCGAATGCTGGCCACCATCAGAAACAAGTTACAAAGCAAGTAGACTCTAGCTTTACAAAGCTCCTAGAAATTCTACTAACTCCTGTATTTCCTCTATACAGTTTTGTTTACACCAAAAAAATAAAAGCCTTCAAACAATTTCGTTTCACATCGTGGACTGATCTGATTTTGTCTTCAAAACACCTTCCATTTCTCTCCCTCCAGACCGACCACCTCATTATAAGCATATTATGTGGGTGATTTATTACATTAGATACGACTGGTTTCAGACTGAGGCTTTGAACTGAATAAACCTGATCTCAACTGCCACCACATAAGAGAAAGAAAAGAGATGAAAGAGAAGAGGGGCTACCTGAATAGGGCTGAATTGTACATATATGCCTTCAACTAATTTATTTAGCTGTAGTTGTTAATTATGATGATGTTCTCTAATTATGAAGGAAGTTTAACCACAACTTTGTTTATCAAAAAAAGAAAAAAAAACAGAAGCATAACTCGATACCACATGGGCAGATCATATGTTGGTTGGTTGAGCTGTTTCTGCTCCAGCATGGTTCTTAGTTCTGAGTTAATAATCATAGTCTCAGATAAAAAGATTTAAGTTGTTTAGACAAAGAAAATCTCAAAACAAAGGAAAAATTAGAATAGGAGAAGAAGAAACACTAGATGATTTGTTTGTCGATACTAGATAGATGACCCTAATGGAACCTAGTGAATGTCTAAGTAGATAATCCCACAACCTTGCGATATCTAGACAACAAGCTCCTCATAGCATGTGATGGTATTAGTTATTAGTATTGTGATATGACACCATTGATATGTTTTGATATTAATATTTCACATATAGCATTTTCATAATAATAGACTAATTAACTATTGGTATATTTTTTCAATTTTTGACTGATATGAAACATTTTTATTTTTTTGTCATATTAGTGTTGTATTTTAATCTTTGCCTGATCATGTGACTGTTCAGTGTCTATGTTTGATTGAACCACAATCAAGTAGATTTAGAGTTTTATCGAAAAAGTGTGAAGAAACAGATGAAAAATGGAAGTCTCTAGTCCCTACTAATATACCTTCAATCTCCAAAATGATACCTGGTTATTTTCTTCAACTCAATTGGTGTTTATTTTTGAATTTCATATTTGCTACTAGTGATTAAGCCATATAGCATTCAACATTTGCCACTTGTGTGGCAATATCTTAGAAATGTCTGAATATTCAATTTCTCAATTTGTTGACCCTAAATTTTTCTCTAGCTCTTTTGATGTATGTATCCTCATTATTGTGGTATGCACCTTTGTAGAGCTCACTGGAATTCCTACTGTAACTCTCCAGCGCCTTGTTCCAGAACATGCTCGAAGGCAGAATTTATTCATGGCTTTGCGACCCTAGTGACTATTTTGTGTTCTGCCACTGTCCCTAAGTACAATATGATACAAGTGTTTGCACCTCATCTGTGAGTGCTTGCTAAATGTGGCTGTAGATCAAGTTCACAACGATGTTAGACTTGCCGTTCCACATACGTGAGAGAGCATCTTGTAATTTTTTCCAATAGCTGGTATGAATACCGTGCATATATGTCAAAGCACATTTTGTATACTTGCGAAAACACAGTGAGATTTAGGTTTGGATGACGAAAAGCTGAGGGTTTATATATATAATCATTTCAGTTTTTCTTTAATTCATGGGCATTAATAGCTGATTTTCAGATAAAAAAGAATAATACTAGCTATGTGTCTTTGGTATTTCCTTGCATGTGTTGTTCAGTGAAACATGATCACATACGCCCATGTTATTTACTGGAATCGAAAGAGCTGATCTCCGCAAATTGGATTAATGTTGGTTTTGATAATGGCATCTTCAATTGACTATTGGTATTACATTTTGAAGAGCTAATCTTATGTGGCCAAGAGTAACGGGCTTCAAAGGTCTTATACCATGAGCATGGATGTATATACCTTTTTGCTCTTGAGTCGTGACATGTGAAGTTGTAGGTACTCTTGGCATTGTCAATTGTCTGTTCAGTTGCTTCAATATCTTTATCGGCTTATCCACATTGTGGTTTCTTCATACTCCTTGCTTATAGTCGTTAATTGGTTGGCACCTCTTTGGACTTTGTTAGATCCCTATAAGAATAGAGCTCACAGATTCACTTTTGTACTTATTATCTTTTGTACTATTTGCATTCTTGATGCTATAAGAAAGCAAGAAGACGTTTGACGCTGGGATAGCAATTTCTTTTCATTGTTTTGTGAGAGTTCGATAATTCGATCCCCTTCCCCTATTCTTAATTTTTTGTTAAAAAATAATAATCAAAACATAGATTTATAGGGGGCATTTGCACTTTTTGTTTCTATTTTGTGTCGTCTTCAAAGCATCTCAAGGCAAATAATCTTTTCACATGTATAAATATACTAGATACGGATCCCGTGTCAGCATGGACCCAATATATATTACACTTTTCGCTAATTATTGTGGTTTATAATATTTTTACGTAATTTTCACATAATATATATTACTTACTTTGTGTTGATTTATGTGATACAAATGAAATTTCAAAAGTTAAGTCAATTAATTTTTTTATAATTTTTTTTATATTTAAATTATTAATTATTGTGAGTTATAATATTTTATGTGTTTTGTATGATATTTTTCTCTCTTTATCTCAATTTATGTGGTATAGACGAAATTTTGAGAGAATAACAAAATATTTTTATATATTTTCAAATATTTTGAAGCTATAGTTATTATGATTTATGATATTTTTTTACATAATTTTTAATATATTATATAATGATAGAAGATAATTTTTTTTTAAAGAGAAACTTTAAGTTAACAAACTACCGCCAGCTACAAGCAAGCATGTTGACGAAGTGTTTGTTGCCTGTAGTACGGGATCCCTGTGAGCAAGGGTCCAATTTATATTATTTTTATTTTAATTTATGTCACACAAATGAAACGTGAAAAGTTGTTCAAAATTTTATATAATTTTTTAAAAATATTTCAAGTTATTAATTATTGTGATTTATAATTTTTTTAAGCGATTTTGAAGTAATATATACTATTTCGTTTTCCCAATTTATGCGACATAGATAAAAAAAATATATTGTTTTTATGTCTTTTAAATATTTTAAAGTGTTAATTTTTGTAATTTGTAGTGCCTTTTATTAATTTTTAAATAATTTTTTGTTATTTCTCATGTCCCAATTTATGTGGTATTGATATAATATTGAGAGTCAACCAATTTTTGTTAGTCTTTTAAAATTTTAAGTTTTTAATTGTTATAATTTATAATACTTTTTACGTCATTGTCAAATAATATATGTCATTTCCTCTAACCCATTTTATGAGTCACTCATATATTTTTTGAGAATATTTTTTTTTTTGACTTTTAAATATTTTAACTTATTAATTATTGTGATTTAAAGTATTATTATTGTAAGTTTCAAATATATAGCCGGATAAAAAAGAAAAGTAAGAAAGAATTAAAAGGAAGAAAGTACAGAATTAATGGTCAAATTAATGTGACACAAATGAAATTCTTTTATCCTAATTATGTGGTACAATAGAATTTAGAGAGTATTATTTTTATATAATTTTTCAATTTTTGAATTCAATAATTATAATAATTTATAATACTATTTATATGAAATCTAAATAATAAATATTATTTTTCTATTCTAATTTATATGACATTAATAAAATTTTGAGTATATAAAGAAGGGAAAATTGTATGTAATAGCAAACTAATAACCTAAATTAAATGGAATAGCTAGGGTTTGATTTAATTGTTCTCCATAGCAAACATTAGCTAAAATTTGTCAGCGTCTCTCCCCCAAAAATCTCGCTTGCCACTCTCCATTCTCGCTCGCCTCTCGCTTTATACACAGAAGTGTATAATTCTGTTTCTGTTTTGTATAAAGCGAGAGAAAATTGTATATACACATGCAAAAATGTATATCTTCGTGTTATAACTTAATTATACAATTTACAAACATTTTACTTCAAATATTGCAGAGAAAAAGGCCAACGAATTATACAATTGCGAATTATACAATTGCGGTGAAATACAATTTTCTCTAGCTTTATACAACAGAAGTGTATATATTGTGTTTCTATTTTTGTATAAAGGGAGAAAAACATATATCTTCTTGCTATACACTTATAATTATGCAATATAAATACATTTTAATTTGATTCAACTGTATGCAATACAAATTATACAATTGCAGCGAAATAGGCCAGCGAATTATACAATTGTATATGTATAGCAAATTATACAGTTTTATGTTTGCTATGAACCGCAATTATGCAGAGTTTGTAATAGCATACAAATATAAATTTTTTGTTTGCTATATGTGAAAGTTGCCCTATAAAGAATCATATAATCATTTAAATTTTAGCCTTATTAATGTAATGAAATATTAAATTTTATTAGTTAATTTTATCTGCATGATCTCAAACACAATAATAAAGAAAGCCTAAAATAATTACAAATGAATTCTAAATATTACTGATGGGAACATTAGCATTTTTATGCCTTTTAGTAATGAAAAAGGCTCAAATTTCACTATATTTACCAATAGATAGCAATGGTTTTGTTGTAAAAAGATACAAAAGAAGGGACAAATAAACTTTAAAAATACTGCATTATCAACAAAAGGACACAAAAGGAATTAGAGAAAACAAAACATTAAACGCACAACTCTTAAAACAAACTGTATAAACAATCACAGCAGAGTAAAAGCAGATTAGGGAGTAACTTACCAAATTACCCTTGTCTACGAAGCAACCATGTTGACGAACAACTGCTTCCTAGACTCTTTTATATATTAGTAATATATTTTTCATGTAGTAATATTCTACGAGTGTCCCGCAGGCCTCACCGTAAAAAGACGTTGAACTTCTTCGAGTATAAATTCGATCGATAAAAATTACAATTAAAAATGAAATGTAAATTGTGCAATTAAATTTGACAAATTAATAGAATTTAGATAAATCAAAATAAAATTAGTTAAAATTGATGATATCAATCAAAATTACATAAATTGAAATGAATTTAAAAAGAAGATCATAATTCTATCTATGAAAATTTGAACATTCAAAAAGAAATAAAATGAAACAAGATTGTCAAACGTTTACCAAAAAACAATTAACTAAAGTTTTCTCAAAGATTTGCGTTAAAGTCATTTGATTCGCCGTCACTTAACGGAAAAGGGCTAATTAGTGCTAAAACCCCAACAGAAATATTAAAAAGTAATTAGTCTCTCTCTTTGTTAAAACATCACTAAAACCTAAAACACTCTGTCTTCTTCATCGCATAGCTATTGTTCTTCAACTTTTTTTTTGGTTTTGAGAAGTGAAAGGAAGGAGGTGAATTGGTAAAGAAAAAATGGCATGTATGTCACTCAATATAGGAGCTGCTTCTGCTTTGAAGTTTGTAAGCAATTCCCAAAATCATCCAGTAAAGCTGTTCTCGGCTAAAGAACAACGTTGTTCCAACTTCAGTTCCAGCAATTGGGGTTGTTTCAGTCTTCGAGTTCGTCGGAGTTCTTGCCTTCGTTTTGATACACAAAAATCTTTCGCCGTTTTCAACAGCCTTCCAGTGGATAATAGCAACCCCAGTAAGAACTACAGCACCCATTTTGTCTTTCTATGTGTTTGTAAGAATCGGAAAAACTGAGAAATTCGGTGTTTTGATTGCTTCCCCTCAGTTTTTGTCATTTGGTTGGCTAAAAAATGTCTTGGGAATTTTGCCTATTCGAATGTGATTCTATTACCTCTCACTGAAGGGATATGTTAATACCTGCTTCTTTTATTAGATATTGATTTTCACTTCCCCTTAAGAGTAGAGAATGAATTTTGAGTTGTTATTCAATAGCTTGGAATTGCCTTGTAATGCCGGAAGACCCTTTCTTTTCGTCTTTTTCAATACTAAGTATTGTCTTTTGGTGTTTATATTTATCTGGCACATACAGATACAGTAGCTGTTGCTCTGCGATAGATATTGTACAAGTTCCTTAGCATTATTTATTGATTCCTTTCTAATTGTTATTATAGAGGAAAGTGTGGTTGTCTTGGTAATTGGAGGAGGTGGGAGAGAGCATGCGCTTTGTCATGCTTTGAGGCGATCCCCTTCTTGTGACGCTATTTTCTGTGCACCGGGTAATGCTGGAATTTCCAGCTCAGGTGATGCGACTTGTATATCAGACCTTGATGTTTTAGATAGTTCAGCTGTGATTGCTTTCTGTCGTAAATGGGGAGTTGGACTGGTTGTGGTTGGACCAGAGGCTCCGCTTGTTGCAGGCCTTGCTAATGACCTTGTCAAGGAAGGAATTCCTACCTTTGGCCCCTCATCAGAAGCAGCTGCTTTAGAAGGTTCTAAGAACTTCATGAAGAGCTTATGTGATAAATATGGAATTCCAACTGCAAAGGTCTGTGCGTACTTCTAGTTCCATCTATATTTACTTGTTTTTCTTGTTTTGGTTCACTTCATATCTTGACTTTATCTATGGTGGAATATCTGCAGTATCAAGCATTTACAGACCCATCCGCTGCAAAAGAGTACATCAAACAGGAAGGTGCCCCAATTGTTGTTAAAGCGGATGGATTGGCTGCTGGTAAAGGAGTGATTGTTGCCATGACATTAGAGCAAGCATATGAGGCTGTTGATTCTATGCTTGTAGACAATGTTTTTGGTTCTGCTGGCTCTCGAGTCATTGTAGAGGAATATTTGGAAGGAGAGGAAGCATCATTTTTTGCTCTAGTAGATGGTGAGCATGCCATACCTCTGGAATCTGCTCAAGACCACAAACGAGTTGGAGATGGAGATACAGGACCAAATACTGGTGGGATGGGGGCATATTCTCCAGCTCCTGTCTTGACAAAGGAACTGCAATCAATGGTCATGGAGTCTATCATTTTCCCTACAGTGAAGGGAATGGCCGAAGAAGGCTGCAAGTTTGTTGGGGTTCTGTATGCTGGGCTCATGATCGAGAAGAAATCTGGTTTGCCGAAGTTAATTGAGTACAATGTACGCTTTGGAGATCCAGAATGTCAGGTTAGTTGGATTTGACTTGCCAGGTGCAATCAAACTTTTTATGTTCTAATTGCAATTTGTGTTAGTACCATTGATCCTAGTTTCATATTACACATAGGAAAGCATCAGACTTTTTGGTTCTTCACTTTGGTATATGTTGAATTTGTTATGTGAAACATACTGCTTTTCTATTACATGATTTGGCATTTGCTATGCTTAGTTGCGCGGACTCTTCACTTTTGATGCCGCACCCGTCTCGGATTCTTCAAAAATACACTACTTTTGGCGAATCTGACACGCACCCATTGGCGTTTTTGGAGAGTCCGAGCAACATAGTTGCTATGTGCACAAGGTTTTAGTCTTTCAGAAGCAATAGAAAGCTAGGTGCTTTCCAAAGTAACATGTACTCTTTTTTTTTCCTTTTTTTGTGAAAGAGATTTATTACCATCATGTCCTACGTGTGAAGAATATTGTTAAATTGGTTCAAGATCATTTTTGTTCCAAGAGGTGGATAACTAGAGTTGTTATTACTAAGTAAGCGGGTGCTCTCACTTCAGTTATGAACTTAGAAATATCTGATCTGTTATACATACTCAACAGTCTTTTGGTTTTGGGATTCTTATCTTGGATGACAAGTTACAATTGTCACATTAGAACACCACTCCTTGAGTGTAGCTTCATGCCTTCATAACATTTTATCGGAGTGTGGAAGCTATTATACTTCCTCAATCCATAACTTTTTCCAAGACAGTATTAAATTATAGATTTAGCTTGCTATGGACCCTCTATTTCCTATTTAGTTGCATCTGCGGTGCAATTTGAGTAGTTGAATAGGCATTCAAGTGAACATTTGGTTGAGCCTTTTTTGGGCAATTACTATCCCAAAGAGTGGGTAACATTTTTGTAAAATGTATACTACGATGGAAATCAATTACTGTATAGTGAGATAGGTGATTCCGAATTTACAGATGACTTTGTGTTTAACTTAGGTTTGCATACTTTCTTTGTTAAAGCAACAGTAATTAAGTTAGTTCATCCTATATGTTTGTCCTGTGCGTTGTGTATTTGGGAAGGCAGAATTGTAGGGAAGGGCTATGTTCATCACAGAAAGAGTAGAAGTTTGATGCTTGTCAATACTATTTGGTTATAGTTGGCAAATTTTTCTGGATACTTTTTTTTCTGTAGGTTTTACATGGTACTTGATGAAACATGTAATGGATACAGGAGTGGGATATAATTGTGCTCAGTGTAATTACTATATCTCATAAAACAGTTTTGAAGTCTTTTTCTTATCCTTTGCAGGTATTGATGGTCCGGTTAGAGTCTGATTTGGTCGAAATTTTGCTGGCAGCTTGCCATGGGAAGCTACATGGGATGTCTTTGGACTGGTCCCCTGGATCAGCCATGGTGGTTGTAATGGCAAGTAATGGCTATCCTGGCAACTACCAGAAAGGAACAATCATCCATAAGCTTGAGGAAGCAGAGCAAGTTGCTCCTTCAGTCAAAGTATTCCATGCTGGAACTGCTTTTGATGCAGATGGAAATTTCATTGCTACTGGGGGACGTGTTCTTGGAGTCACAGCAAAAGGAAAGGATCTTGAAGAGGCTCGGGATAGAGCTTATCAAGCCGTTGAACAAATTAATTGGGCCTGTGGTTTTTATAGACGGGATATTGGTTGGAGAGCACTGCCTCAAAAACAATATTCTTAAGGTGAGCTCCTACAATCATCCGTTCCATTGGGACTGCAGCACGACATGGCTATCAGCTTTGGCATGATGTTTACGAAGAGACTGAAGCATGGCATGGCTCTTTGAGAAACCACGTAACACTAGGTGTGAGGAAAAGGTCCAGGAATAGATAGAAAGTCTTGAATTGACTGTAGAACTTTCTAACAAGGTGATTGATTCTATATTGCCTAATGAAAGCTGTTGTATCGTTATTTTTTTCTTCTTGTTCCCCCTGCAGTTTAAATGAAATACTCTGATTAGGAGCATCCTATATGTTGTATCTTATCCATATCTTCAACAAAAGCAATTTGTTGTGTGAAAATACATTAGAGTAGTGGCCTAAGTTCGTTCTCTCCTTGCCTTTGAAGTTACATTTTGTAAGTTCTTGGCAATGTGACAATGTATGTCTAATGGTATTTAGTAATTTTAACTACGCAAGTTGCTTATTCGAGAAAAAAAAATACCATTTTATTTGACCCGACAAAATATTCCTAACCAATTATTTAACATTATTATTTCCTTAAATATAGAACTTGATCACAGAAGAAACTGATTAGGAGGAAATCGAGGAATCAATATCTTGTTAGAGTGTTAGTTATATAGTCCTTAATATATGGGGAAGTATAATTGATTATTAAATACTTTATTAATTCAATTTTTATTTTTATTTTTTGAAAAAATTACTGTTTGAGGCAATAAAATGGGTATTGGTATATTAAGAGAAAAGTTTGTGATTACCGGCCTATATAAGTCCATTGGGCCTGAGGAGCGGGCCCAATATTAAATGAACCAATCAGAAGCTTTAATTTCAATCACAAACGTGCAAAGCCAAAAAGATGATTCTAGAACCGTCCACGTGTACTCACCTAACCCTCACCCTCCTCCTTATCTTCTCTTCTTCTACACTTTGCTTTCAACTCCTCTTTCTCCTAACTCGCCTTTTCCTCTAATCCCCAAATTCTCAATTCTTCTTTCTCTTTAGGGTTATTTGGGGTTTGCTATGGCGTCTTCAACTGCTCAAATTCATGCTCTTGGAGCTACATATTTCGCTAATTCATCTTCTTCCACTAGAAAACCTTTAAAGTCTGTGTTTTTGGGCCAGAAACTGAACAATAGAACCCTAGCTTTTGGATTGAAGCAGAAGAAGAGCCGGGGGAATAACGGTGGTTATGCACCGATGCGTGTGGTGGCGGAGAAGGTGGTGGGAATTGACTTGGGGACTACTAATTCTGCTGTGGCTGCTATGGAAGGAGGGAAGCCTACCATAGTGACGAATGCTGAAGGACAGAGGACAACTCCTTCAGTGGTCGCTTATACTAAGAGTGGGGATAGGCTTGTTGGTCAAATTGCTAAGCGTCAGGCTGTGGTGAACCCGGAGAATACCTTCTTTTCAGTGAAGAGATTCATTGGAAGGAAGATGAATGAGGTGGATGAGGAGTCGAAGCAGGTGTCCTACAATGTCATCAGAGATGAGAATGGAAATGTCAAGCTTGATTGCCCTGCCATTGGCAAATCATTCGCTGCTGAAGAAATTTCAGCTCAGGTATTAGCAATCTTGTATTCTGCTTCATAAACACGCTTAAGATTTGTCTTGCATGTCTAGACTAGTATTAATTGTATGCTTAGAATGAGATTGCAGCTGGTGTTTCTGAACATTCTGACAAAGAAACTGTGGTCCTTGAGCAAGTCTGGACATCTAGGGTGCTTTTGGTATGGAATAGGTAGAAGAGTTGATAGCAGATGATATTGCAGGGTGTAGGAAAAAGTATTAGGATAGCGCTCAACATAAGGCAACAATATCTAAATATTGATTACCTCGAAATATCTAAGTATTGATTGAAGTAAGAGATATGTAATAGGAGTCGGGGATTGTAAAAGAACATTATTTTTCCTATGAGACAACATAGTCCACAGTTTAATGTAACATTCACTTCAAGTCCAGGAAAATATTCCTCCATATGCCGGAAGGAGGAGGTGTACATTTTTTTAGACAGTCTTTTACTCCACGGCAAGAACACCGGCAGTGTAACTAACTGTCTTTGCAATTTGAGATCTTGAAGTTCATTAATTTATATGCCTTTTGCTGTAGTTAGTGTGAACAATATGATTTTGCTGTTCAATAAAGCATTAGTTATGTGACACTATTGCAAAGTTGATTAGAAAAGAGGGCATATAGAGACTTGAGCATACTGCCTGATACTTATTTCTTGGATTTTTATTTTTTGGTTCCATAGTCAAGTGAGCTGACCTGAGTTTGCTTCCATGGTTCTGTTGACTTACTAATGATTTTATTTTCTGGTTTAGGTCCTGAGGAAGTTGGTGGATGATGCATCCAAATTTTTGAATGACAAGGTTTCCAAGGCTGTTGTCACGGTTCCTGCATACTTCAATGATTCTCAGAGGACAGCAACTAAGGATGCAGGTCGCATTGCTGGATTAGAAGTTCTTCGGATAATTAATGAACCCACTGCTGCCTCCTTGGCTTATGGTTTTGAAAAGAAAAGTAACGAAACAATTTTGGTTTTTGATCTTGGAGGTGGTACTTTTGATGTATCAGGTAATAATTGCACTATGGTTCCCTCCTGGGTGTTAGCTCTGTTGTGTCTTGAGACCGTTCCCTGCTTTTCGTGCGTGGCTATGTTGTTGCGACCAGTTTGGTGTTTTTCATACTTTGAGTTTCCAACAATCATGCTGTACGTTCAGCCATAATTCATTGGAGAAGGGGATAGGTTAAAAACAAGTTTGTAGGGGTACTTTATAGAAACTAAAATTAAAGGTTTGAGCTAGTAGCTGCTCTTTACTGCTGGTTATCCCATAACTTTTTGAGCTTGAGCTGTGGTTGAAAGATTCTTAGGAATGGGCTTATAGCTGGTAACTCTTAACTGTTGTTTCTTATATTATACGACCTCTGTGCTGGGTTTTTGCTACTGTAGCTTTCCTATATAGTGTGGGGAATTCTACTATAGGATGTCTTTTAACATCATGACTTAATGACTTGACTTTATCCATGTCTCTGTGAACTCATGCTTGTGGCAATTGTAACAAATTTTTTTCTTGCAGTTCTTGAGGTTGGTGACGGTGTCTTTGAGGTGTTGTCAACTTCTGGTGACACCCATCTTGGTGGTGATGATTTTGACAAGGTTTATTTTCTGTCCCCTAAACGAAAATGTATTTGTCACTTGATTGAGCAATTTACCTCTAAATCACTAGTACCTGCTCGAAGTAATTTTGAAGTATTCCACTCATGCAGAGGATTGTTGATTGGCTTGCTGCAAGTTTCAAAAGAGATGAAGGTATTGATCTTCTAAAGGACAAACAAGCTCTTCAACGTCTGACTGAGACTGCTGAGAAAGCTAAGATGGAACTGTCATCGCTGACCCAGACTAACATCAGGTATTTATGACGTTTTCAAGCTTTATTTTTCTTCTTTGCCCTTTGGGGGTGTAGTCCGTTGATTTTGAAATTACATTTTCTGTTGTAGTTTACCATTCATTACGGCTACTGCTGATGGTCCTAAACACATTGAGACCACTATCACACGTGGGAAATTTGAAGAACTATGCTCAGATCTGCTTGACAGGTAACAGCAATATAACACACTTCCTTTTATAGCTTATAAACTTTAATGGTTAAGTTGCTGGCTTTTACAAGATTAGAGGATTTGATGTCAGCTTTTTTGCGCTTGTTCTGCAATTAGGCTTAAAACTCCTGTTCAGAATTCCTTGAGAGATGCCAAGCTCTCCTTCAGCGATATTGATGAGGTCATCCTTGTTGGTGGTTCTACACGTATCCCAGCTGTTCAGGAACTTGTTAAGAAATTGACTGGAAAGGACCCCAATGTTACAGTTAATCCCGATGAAGTCGTTGCTCTTGGTGCTGCAGTGCAGGTAAGACCTTTGTTTGTTCCTGGTTCTTGTATTCTGGTCTTGATTAGTGTATGTTGGTGCACATTTCAATTTCTTCATTATTCTAGGCTGGAGTTTTGGCCGGAGATGTCAGCGATATTGTCCTTTTAGATGTCACACCATTGTCCATTGGTTTGGAAACACTTGGTGGTGTGATGACAAAGATCATTCCAAGAAATACAACATTGCCTACCTCCAAATCAGAAGTGTTCTCTACCGCTGCTGATGGTCAGACAAGTGTAGAAATTAATGTCCTCCAAGGAGAGCGAGAATTTGTTAGGGACAACAAATCTTTAGGTAGCTTCCGGCTTGATGGAATTCCTCCTGCCCCAAGAGGGGTTCCACAAATTGAAGTGAAATTTGACATTGATGCCAATGGTATTCTTTCCGTGACTGCTATTGACAAGGGTACTGGGAAGAAGCAAGACATCACCATTACAGGTGCCAGCACATTGCCTGGTGATGAGGTATGATTTTGACTTCCAATTCTACTAGGGACTGTCTCCTTTAACAATTCTAGCTTGGTCAACAAGTTTTGTGTTTATAAGTTGCTGGAATTTGCCTTTTTAAAAAAATTTCCTTCTATTATTGGCTTTTATTGCCGTTGGTTGTATATGGAGCAATATGTTTTGCGTGTCATTCCATTTTAGCTCCCCTTGCTGCTCATATGTGATGGGATTTCTGGTTGCATGGAAACAGGTCGAGAGAATGGTTAAAGAAGCTGAAAGATTTGCCCAGGAAGACAAAGAGAAGAGAGACGCCATAGACACAAAGAACCAGGCCGATTCTGTTGTCTACCAGACAGAGAAGCAGTTGAAGGAACTTGGAGACAAAGTACCAGGGCCAGTGAAAGAAAAGGTTGAGGCTAAACTTGGAGAGCTTAAAGAAGCAATCTCAGGAGGGTCAACTCAGACCATGAAGGATGCTATGGCTGCCCTTAACCAAGAAGTAATGCAGCTTGGTCAGTCACTCTACAACCAGCCTGGTGCTGCACCAGGTGCTGGTCCAGCACCTGGCGGTGCTGATGGACCTTCAGAATCATCATCTGGGAAGGGACCTGATGGAAATGACGTAATTGATGCTGATTTCACCGACAGCAAGTGAGCATAGAAGAGCAATTTTGAGGCTATATTTAATTTTCAGCTTTTATACTCTTGCTTAGGTTGTGTATAAGGGATTTAACTTTGTGCACAATTACGATTTTGGGGGACAATTTCTGGTGGAATGGGGTACGCTAAAAAGATAATTCATACAGGGGAACTAGAGGTTAGAAGTGTTGAGGTAGGTGGAGTTATTCTTGATTGCAAAATGAAACAGTGTCTGTCTGTCTACCCATGAATATTTTTAGAAAAATGTTAGTGGTTCAAACCTTAAGGTTAGAGAAACTGACCTTTCTGGTTCTCTCACCCTACTTTTCCACAATTCTATAGGTAGTCCTTGTGTTCTTGGATTACTTGCTGTTATTGGAGTGAATGAATTTGTACTTATTTCTCAGTACCTATTTTATCTTTTCAATCTCACACCTGATGTTGATGCTATCATTAATGGACAAATCCTAGCAGAAGAATTCCGGCCTTGCAAGTACAAAATGATGTTCCATCAGAATATCAGTATTTTTTTTATTATACAAAGCCCATGGTAAAATTCAAAAGACGAATGTACATCCCTTCTAATATGATATGATAAAGATAAATGATATAATGAAATATAATTATTTACTGTACAATAACGTGTACCAAATAGGTTGGGGCGTGTGTGTGTGTGTGATGATCTCTTAAAGAGTTTTTATGTATCCGCTGAACCAGCCATATTTGAGAAGCGAGGGCTTAATGGAATGGGACTGGGAGAAAGACTACTGGTTCTTCTTTCCACAGAATAACCTCCTGGAGAAGCACAACCATTTCCATTTCCTATTTCTATAGAGTAACTGCATGGCGATATACTTCCATTTCTCCTTTCATAGTCATCAAAATGCATACATTTTATACAACATCCACCACCACGGCTGTGCCTATAAGAGGGTGACTGATAGTAATGTTGGTTAGGATCCATGTGATACCTTAACCCTTCCGCTCGGCCAACCGACCTAACAGAAAACAACCTGTCTGGCCCTTTGATTGGATCACCAGGACCATGACTATGTTTGTTTAAATGATAACCATTGTAGTGTTGTTGTTGTCTATGGTTGTAATAGTGATGTTGTTGTTGCAAGTTTTGATGTAACCCATGCTGCTGCTGGTTACTGACATTGTAAAAGCTAGGGGAACTCTGCACTTTGTGCAATTGACTTCTATTTTGAAAAATACTTTGCAGCAGTGACTCATGATTAACACCATCAGTAGTGCAACTGTCAGGAGATCTTGGTGAAGAACAAGCAGAGGAAAACCCAAAAGAGGCTTGACTTATGCTTAGAGCTGGTTGTGGTGGTTGCTGTATCCTAATCCCTGCTTCCCTTGCACGTACTATACCATTAATCGCATCGATGTATCGTTGTTCTAAAGGTTCTGGTGGCGTTGTGTGGTGATCCACCACAACAGGCTTTGCTGGGAACAGAAATGCACGTAGTCTCGGGATCCCTGCACTCTCACAACGATCATATTCATCCAACATATGGCGTAGATCCTCCTCTGTTTTAACCGAGATCAATGCATCAAGCTCCTCGTGTACTAGTTGATATTTCAGAACCATATCACCTTCAATTTGAGGAGTTAGCTTCTTCATCAATTCTGCATCAAGGTGAAACATCGTCTTTTCAATTCCCCACACACACACATATATATATATATTCATATAAAATCGTACTGTTCAATGCATAAAACATATTTTTACCTGAAAGTTTAATGTCTCGAGGAACGGAGATAACACGTGTCTCGCCACCGACATACTTGAGGTGGCCATCAGCTGGTTGAGGAAGAATTTTTCCTCCCTGGCTACAAAGAAATTTAATCCTACTCTTAGGGGAGGTTGGGCTGGACCCTAGTGGTGAACCACATAAAACAGGTTCCTCCACTATTGGCATTATTATAAAAACAAATGCTAAAAACCCAACAATAGAAAATAAAAAATTAATATACACAAAGGGAAGAATTTAGAATAATTTAAGAATATAACTATGTTTCAAGAATTGAGATAAACAAAGACAAGAACATTCATGTATTTGAATATTTATAATAATACGTATAAATTTTATTTATTTATTTTTTGCCACAGATTTGATTGTCTGGTTCTAACAATAGTGAGAATAGCAGGAAAAAAAGAAGGGACTTTCTGGTATATAGGCTATTAATTTGTGAATTTTTTTATGGTATTTCGTATTATTCTGAGGATTCTTTCATTTTGATTCGATTTTTGAGGGGGATAAAAATGGATTTTTAAATGTTTCCTTGTATTCAGGAAATTAAAGGTTGATAATTTAATTGAGTTGCTCTACATTCGTTGAGTAATATTATGGTATTTTATAATAATGTTAAAGAGAATTGTAAGGCACCTATTTTGGAATAACAATCAAAAAGGATAAGATACTTTATGTTACGTTACTAACACGGAGGATGTGTTTGGATGAAACTAAAATAATGGAAAACACATATATTACGTGAATTTGTGTCATGTGTTTAAATCAAATTATGTAATTTCTAATATAGTTACATAATTTAATAAGTATAATATTAGCTAATCATTATCAAGTCATAGTAAAGCAAATACTAAGTTGAAAAATAGGGTACGTTGATTATTTGGACCCATTAGGATGCCGATTAGTATGGTGTATTTGTCAACTTAACATGTACATAATTTTTGGGTAATAGTATCAAGCCGGGATGGCATTTTTACGTCTTTGAATAAAAATAAAAATAATATATTTAATATAATTTTATAATTAAAATTTAAGAAAAATAATTTATAATAAATTGTACTAGATAGGAAAAATATTTCATATACCAGTAGCTCAAAAAAAACATTATAAAGCGATTTAAAAAAAAAAAGCTGATAAAAAATAAATTAAAAAAACAAGACAAAATGCTAAACAAATGACATAAAAAATGAAACAATCACCATCCTAAGACAACATGAAATTGAATTAAAATTGAAAGTTACCTGACTTTCTGAAAAAGAACGAACGCATAGTTGAGTGATTATATGAAATTGTTATTAACAAAAGATATAAATGATCTATTTGATCTATAACAATTTTGATCATTTTCCGTAATATAAATAGAACAAATTAGCTGACTGATCAAAATTCTTTTTAACTTTATACACTTTAAAGTTAGTGCTTTAATTTTAGTGGCACCTCCACTCTTACATCTTTGATTGATTTTCGGAGTTTTGCAAACTTCACAAGCCACTTGATTTAATTGTATTTCTTGCTTCAAAATTCACAGCAAGAGTAGAGAGATTCGGTTCTTGCCTTTGAACGCCATGGATGTGCAGTTAATCGAGTATAAATTGACCTGCAATTGTAACCACAGAATCTACAATGTCATTCTGGACGACACTGAAATCGAAACTAGTGTCACCGTTGATCCTTGTTCCGTCGCCTCATGGATCAGAAAAATCGAAACCCAAAACAGATCCCGTCTTCACCGTTTGATTGTAGGGCTTGACATCGAGTGGCGCCCAAAATCCAATCCCGTCGCCGACCGAAACCCCGTCGCCACTATCCAGCTCTGTGTCGGAAAATCCTGCCTCATCTACCAAGTTCTCCACTCCAGACACATCCCCCGCCGACTCCGACACTTCCTGAACAACGACGACTACACATTCGTTGGAGTTGGTATTCGTAGTGACGTGGACAAGCTGTGGGAGGACTATAATCTTGAAGTATCGGACATTGTTGATCTCCGGGAGTGGGCGGCTGAGGAACTGAACAAGAAGAAGCTTCTTAATTCGGGGCTCAAACATTTGGGGAGGAAAATTGCGGGAATAGAGATTGAGAAGCCCAAGAGTGTGACAACCAGTGATTGGGATGAGCGCTGGCTTAGCCGTGAACAGATATGTTATGCTTGCCTTGATGCATATATTTCTTTTGAAGTTGGGAGGGTCTTAAGTGCTTGGTACTAGAAGAGTGGACACAAGTAAATATGTAAGTAAAATATACCAGTTATCGTTTTCTTCTACTCAAATTTGTAAGTGTGTGTGTGAAACTATTTCCTCTATCTTGTGTTGATTCTAGTTTACTATCTTGATTATGAGAGATATATGATTTTGTGTTCCTTTGTAAATAGTTGTAGTATTTTAACTTAAATGACTTGTTCGCACTAGATTGTCATCTGATTTCTTTTACTACTTTGTTGTTTCTTGTACTTCGATTATCGTATAGTTATTGTTTAGAATGATTTGTCAAAATTGGTATATTTGTATTACATCTAGGATGGGAAAAAGGTAAAGACTCAATTAGATAACAATGTTTCAAAGGGATCATTAAATTCAGTATTGACATGCTATGTTGAATTGGACTCGTTGGGTGCGTGTCGGATCCTTCAAAAGCAGTGCATTTTTTGGAGGATCGGATGCTGGTGCGTCATCATTTTTGGAGAGTGAAGAGTAGAAAAGATCTTATATAAAAAGAGTCTTGGGTTGAGTTGTCCTTCTCCACTGCTTGATCATTTTTGAACAATTAAGAAACCTGCTCAGTGTCTGATTTTGATATTTGTGACACAAGGATTGTGTTATTATATTGTTTTGTGCTTAATAGTTTATGGCCTCATAATTGATCCTGTGTGAAACCAATTGTGAAGTCTTGGTACTTCCATTTTTGTCTTCATTGTCTGATGTCCACATGCTTGTTGATAATTATACTTATTTTAAACTCATTTTCCTTATTTTGTTATCTAGACTTTTATTTGCTTTTTCTTTTGTTTTTTTGGACCCATGTTCCCTCAAAAGTTCACCTCACTTTCCCAGACAATTGTTATGTCACTATTATAACTACTGGCAAGGCTTTGAATTGAAAAGTCATTAGTTTATGCCTAGATTTGGATCTAAATAAGCTTCTTCATAGTCAAACATGTGAATTTGACTTCGACAGTTAGATAATTAGGGATTAAGCATCTAAAATATAATAGAACACTAAAAATTTAAACTTAATTATATGACAACCAAATGTAGGGGGGTAAGGTATGCTTACATTCTACTAACCTCACTTGTGGGATTACACTGGAAATGTTGTTGAATACCAAATTTAACTCAAAACTCAACTTGCACTTATAACTTCTAAGATTATAAAACCCCACTTTTTGTGCTTATTATTATACTACATAAGATTTAACAAAAGAAGAAGTTCACAAAAGAGAAAAGATAAAATGCCAAAGATTTAACATTCTCAAGATACAAGTAGGAGTGTCTCCCTTGAGTACAATACACATACAAACTTCTCTTCTTAAGACAGTGAATTCAGAGGGAGATTTAGAGTGAATTGAACTGAACTCACACCGTCCGACTCAAACTATATATGTATATGCAAAAGAAAATAAAACTATAAATATATATTAGTTCACATCTG